ATACAAAGTCTGTGGCCACATCCTCCAATCTGTATGGGATCTTTCATTGTTAACTGACACATAGGGCATTCAAAATCATCGGGAACTACACTTGTAAACTCAAAATCATAGCCTCCAAGCTCTGGAATATTCTGACCAGCCGCCATTGTGATCTAGGTTTCAGAACGAAGCCGGAAGAGAGAATTAGATGTACGCATGTGTGACTTTCATAGAAACAAACCGAGGGGGAAACAAAGAAATGAGAATTTTCTGAAAAAAATGATTTCAGGAAATACATAGAATACTAAGCCAGGGGTAGAATAAAACCCCGAAGCAAAGTGTGTTATATCCATTAGAGCGCTCTGTCTGATGTGTGTATAACTATGAGCGAGAAACTAGCTCCCACGCCTTCCCCTAGGGTACACCTAAAAGATTCTGAAGAGTATTTAGGGGTATATTAAGGTCTGTTTACGCACTGCTATTCTGAAAGATGTAAACGAAAAGAACTTTTTGAGTTAAATTATTTGCTGGTAGCGAATATGCCACGCAAGGAAAACACTCGATAGTAGGAGAAGTGTCATAAATAGCTATTGGGTAGACTTAATTTTTCGAAAGACAGGTTTCAGTGTAATTCCTAAATATATCAATAACACCCTTTGAGTCATATTTGCTTCCCAAGCAGAAAAGTAGCCACAAAAATTATGAATAAATAAGTCCAATACGCATGTACTTATCTTGAATTTGGAGCGATTATTTGCAGCTGCATCATAATATAATAACCTGACTTTTAAGTCATGAGACACATTTTTGTGTTTCTGACATAAGTATCCACTGGAACAGGCGCACAAGAAGGCCAATGACCTTCATTTATATTTCAGTCTGTGACCATTAAACAAACTACAAAATTGAAGCAATCCTCGAATACGACTTTAGGTGGGATTTGCAAGTTAAGACATGTATGAGCTGTTATAAATTTTCCTTTCCTTTACTTTTGCACCTGACAGCTTTAAATAGGAACTATTTTCTTAAACAGCATCTAGTTTTAGTTGTATTCTTCACTGCTTGTCTCACTTCTGTGATTTTCCAGCAATAAAGAATCGGATTCATGGATGAGTGTTAGTTTACCAATGTCACTGTAAAGGGACAAAGAAAATTAATGAAGGCCGTTCCCTATGAGTAAATAAAGCCTCCACTACACCGTGGGGCAGATAGCACTTGCCACTGCTTTCCTGCATCGAGACATGTTCAGTGGAATTCATGAGAAATTGTTTGGTTATGTTGATCATACTGTGGATGAAGTACTGTCTGTACCTGCGTTTGATGATGACAATAAGTGAAGAAGATCCAAGTATAATTGAAGAAGGATATCAATACGCAAAGAGGAATCGCTACACTGCTGCACCATACTGCGATGAGAGAATTCCAAAACTACATCGCACCATTAAGAAAGCATACGAACTTAATTATAGATGTAGCGACAACTGTATGCTTTAGGGCCTATTTACATAGAGGTGGAGGCTCAGGTAGGTGAGGTAACCCGCCTGTTCATATAATCTCTTGTTTTATCTTAATCACGTATACATGATAGGTGGGGTGACCCGTCCAGATGGGTTGCCCGGTCTGCTGAGTAGGGTAACCCTGTCAGCCGGAATAACAATTTGCCATGTAAACGTCTCAAAGTGGAGTAATCGCCTAGCCAAGGTGGCTTCCTGTTGCCTAAAGATGATGTTTCTTTGTAATGTTAATTATCGATTCACGTAAACAATTTTATAAATGTGAAGCACCGTCACGGTTCTATGTTAAAAAAAAAAAAAAAAAAAAAGAGTCTGTATATCCGAGATGGTTGACTACGCTTTTAACATAGGAACTTAAATCGATAAGGCGAAAGTGAAATTATCTTCTTATGTAACAAAATTTACTTCGGCGAAGAAGGCATCCGCTTGAAATATTCATGTTTGGAACTTAAGGGATGAGGTTGTAGTTCATAACGTCATTTATGTTTTCCTTTCATAACCGCTTACTTCCACCTTTATTTCTCAATCTATCTGTCACCAATAACAGCATATATTCGCATAACACATACATTCGTAAAAGGCACTGACTACCGATATCATTAATTTTCCCTCTTTGGGCACTATTGCGCAAAGGGATTAATTGCCTTCGTCTCTACCTTTAGAAAGCCGTACTTTGTATGGTCATCTCAAGGCAACCAAGCCGTCCGCGAGCGCTTCTTCTTCCGTGAACGTTCCGATTCTGTTTTGTCGTGATTACCAAAGACAGACGTGCACGTTTGAACAAGATCACTACGGTTTGCTCCGCGGCGAGAGGAAATGGCTCCGTCACATTTGTGCCAACCGTTGGGTCAAAGGACGTACACAAGCTTTGACCCGGAGGGATCGAAGGAGTGCCCTCTTTCCACTATCTCCGGGGCAAAAAACTAGGTTCATCGAGCACCTTCGTTCATCCTACAAATTTTCCTGATGAAGGTTCTCTCTACAGTGATTATTTCGTTTCTGAGGTTTTTGAGCATGACGTTTTAGGTACGAGACTAGAACAATTTCAGTATGAGACTTCATGTTTCTCCTTTTGTTGATGATTCAAGACTTTCGGGTTTTTCGTGTCAGTTTCCGGGAGCACGTTTCTGCCCTTCAAGTTCTTCGTTGAGGCTCAGTTCTCCCTTTCCCAATTTTCTCGACGTGCACCGCTCCGTGGCTCTGACTGGTGAGCCGAATTATCGCGTGGCACGGATTCCGGTTTTCTCTGTGTTAAATATCGCTAAGTGACGTGAACTCCTTCAGCATTATCCGGATAATGTTATTTGCGACTTTCTTGAATTCGGCTGGCCTATCGGTTACATATCTGATACTTAACCCAATTTTTGATCTTCGCACACATCGGGGCGCGTTGACCTTTCCAGACCAAGTTAATGCGTACCTGTCTAAAGAAGTCCGACTCGGCCGCATTGCAGGGCCTTTTGACAAGGCTCCGTTCATGCAGGGGTTTGTGCTCTCCCCTCTCAATACCGTGGAAAAGCGGGATTCCGAGGAGAGAAGGGTTATCGTGGATTTGAGTTGGCCGTCCGGTCATTCAGTAAATGATGGTATTCCTAGTGACTCGTATTTGGGGGCACCACTTTCATTACGCTATCCTACAATCGATGACATTGTGGATGCCGTTGTTACTTTGGGCCGTGGTTGTTATTTGTACAAGCGTGACCTTCGCAAGGCGTACCGCCAGTTCCCAGTGGACCCCAAAGATTATCCTTTTCTGGGATACACTTGGAACAAACAGTTTTATTTCGACACCGTTCTCACGATGGGGTTGCGCTCTGCCGCTATGGCGTGCCAACGCTCTACTGCTGCTGTTGCCTGGGTCGCATCACAACAAGGACGCGTGGTGTTTACCTATTTAGACGATTTCATCGGCGTGTCTCCGGCCTTTAACGCACAAACGGATTTTCAGGCCCTTAGCGATTTATTGTCTTCACTCGGGTTACAAGAATCTTCAGAAAAAGCATGCCCGCCCTCTCCAGTTATGATTTGTTTAGGTGTCGAGTTGAACACAGACGCATTAACTCTTTCGGTGAGCCCTGGGCGACTCTGCGAACTTGAACAATTGCTTGAGCAATGGATTCACAAACGAACAGCAACGAAGGCTGCCCTTCAGTCTCTAGTGGGAAAACTGATCTTTATTTCCAAGTGTGTGCGTCAGAGTCGCATCTTTATCGCCCGTATTCTCATTCTTCTACGTAAGGTTCTTTTCAATCATCATCATGTCAACTTGACCGCGGAATTTCGCAAGGATATCGCGTGGTGGCGCCGTTTTCTCAGAGCTTATAATGGCGTCTCAATGATTTCTACAGCACAATGGTCCTCTCCGGGCGAAGTGTTTACTACCAACGCCTGTTTGACGGGCTGCAGAGGACTCTGTGGCGACCAATATTTTCATGCAGCTTTTCCGTCGTTCAACAAACTCTTGACATTAATTGCCTTGAACTGTTGACCATCATTGTCGCCTTGAAATTATGGGGTTTGCGGTGGTCCGGTTTACGTTTAACAGTACGTTGCGATAACGAGGTGGCCGTGACTGTACTCAATACTGGACGGTGTCGGAACTCTTTCCTAAACTCATGTTTGCGCGAACTTTGTTATCTTGCCGCTATTCACGAATTCGAAATTCGTGCTGTTCACGTTCCTGGTGTCTCAAATTGCTATGCAGACATTCTTTCGCGCTGGGACTCGAACACCCTTGCGGAAAGAACTGAATTTTTAGCCCACGCGCAACACGTCAATTTACAAGCTGTACCTGTCACTGATGATATGTTTCAATTTGACAATAATTTCTGACCCAGCCTTTTATCGTTTTAGGCTATCCAGAACTTAGGAGGCTTCGACGGGATCTTAAACATTCTCAGCGATCTGCTTACAGCTGTGGGACGTATAGTAACTTACGCACTCAATTCAAGGCTTTCTTTTTGTTTTGTTTTTACTTTAAACTAACCCCAGTCCCGGCTGAGTTAACGACGGTTTGTCTATATGTCCAATTTTTAAGTCGTACCTTAACCCCCCCTTCTATTCGTAATTATTTAAGTGGCGTTAAGTTGCTGCATTTATTTTCGGGCGCGGATTACCCGTTCACCAAAGATTTCGTCCTCTCCCTCACTTTACGCGGTATTACTCGCCGAGCTTTCCACACACCGCGTCGTGCACCTTTCTCCCTCTCTTTTGCTTCGGCTTTCATCGTTTCTTTTGTTGAACGGTGATCCACGCTCGGCTACTTTATTATGCGCCTTTTTGTTTGCCTTTTTCCTTATGGTTCGTCTAGCTAATATCGTGCCGCCATCACTCAGGCAATTTGATCCCCGCCGTCACCTGACTCGGGGTGATATGGTTTTTACCGCCCATGGGCTTTTTGTTACATTTCGGTGCACAAAAACAATTCAGTTTGGTGAACGATTGCTTCATATTCCTTTACTTAGTATTCCTGGCAGTCCATTATGTCCTGTCAGCGCATATCGCCGTATGATTGAGTTGATTCCCGCTCACCGCTCCTGCCCGGTTTTTCTTTTACCGGGTCCCTCGGGTGTAGTGCCGCTTAGTAAGCGCAGTTTTGTTTCACAGTTTCGTACGTGTCTCTCTCACATCGGTATTCCACATGCCGACCGTTACCGCGGTCACTCCTTTCGACGTGGAGCGGCCTCTTGGGCTTTTAGTTGCGGCGTACCCGGCGAGTTAATACAATTGTATGGCGATTGGTCCAGTGACTCTTATAAGCTATATTTAGAGTTTAGCCTTAAATCCAAGCTCGCTCTCGCGACTCAATTACGTTCTGCCATTGTTTCTTTGCCGCTGTAATTTCTTGCACTCGTTCTAGTTATCGTTCTTTCAGTTTGTTTTTGGCCGATTTTGGTGGCAGAGAGGTTTATTTCGCTTCCTTGTTTGTTACTGTTCGGTCCTATTTTATTATTCTAGGATCTAGCTGAATAAACTTCTCTCTTGGCCAAAAACAGATTGTGTTGCTGTTGTGTTGTTGGCGGGGGGAATTTCGAACCAATGTTAAATTTTTTTGGTGTGTTTTTTCAAGGACCAAAAATTTGGAATTCCTTACCTGCTCTGGGTAAAAACGAAAGGGGAAAGAAACTATAAGCATTGAAAAATTGTATGAAAAAATCAGAGAAATAAGCGGGTCGTTGCAACATCAAGACAATGATTGACGAGTTTAACGTTTTGCAAAAAGTTGATATACATTTGGTTTCTTTTTTCATTTCGCTCTTTCATTAACTGTATACATCCTTCATACTGTCAACTACTATTAATTGTTATAGACTCACAACCAAGAATACGTACCTACCTTTCCTACGTATGGAAATAATTATAAGCTTTCGTAGATTTAACAGGCAGGTTGTTACATTTATGGAATATAAAATATTCACCATTATCAATTCCCCGGCTTTGTTATGAATGTACGGTTGAAAGATGCCTAGCCCCAATTATTTGTGTGAGCATATATTGCAGTTATGCTACCAGTGCAATTCACCGTAACGTTATACACGTTATTTTCAATCTTCCTTTATCCCTTCATCTACTCGTTTTTTTGAGCTGGTCCATTAGTCTTCCGTGGAGAATAAAGGAGTGTAAAAAAAAATATGAGCTTTGTGCAGCAAATTGTTTCACCTGCATGTAAGAAATGTAGATGGCTGTTGACGGATATGAAATTTAGATAATTTAACAGTTTTTTTTGGACTTTACTTTTGTTGATGTTATCATTTTTTCCTTTATTGTTGAAAACTCGTCCCTGACAGCTTAATCGTTAATTTTTTTGTACGGACTTATTTTGGAATGAAATTGCATTTGGGCAGAGTAGAACTTTTACTTTGCTTTTTATTCGCTTTTTATCATCATCACTCGTCTATTTTATGCTAAAAATAACAAATGTCTTCTGAGGCAATTTTCGACAGCAACATCAACAGCTACCGGCATTTTTCATAAATTTCTCATATTACATGTACAACGAAAATGGCATTTGTTGAAACGTAACGAAGTGGGTTACAGTTATTTGACTCGGAACCCCGGCAGTAACTGGTAACTTTCAGACCTTTTTCATGAAAGTGAACGAGAGACTATGAAGTTGAGTCCACACAGCGCATCATGATTACTTTTCTTTTGTTACCCACACAGGGCATAACGATTCTCCTCTTTCAATCACGTGAGCCCACACAGTGAATCACGATTACGTATCTTTTGTTAGCCACACAGGGCATAACGATTGTCCTCTTTCACTCACGTGGACCCATCCAGCGCCTCACGATCCTTTTCTTTTGTTATCCGCACAAGGCATAACGATTCTTCTCTTTTTTAATCATGTGAGCCTACACAGCGCATCACGTTTACCTTTTGTTTCGTTGAATCGCATAGGCCCACACAAAGCATAACGGTTTCCTCTTTAAATCATGTGAGCCCATATAGCGTATTGATCACGACTTTAACTTGAATCACGTGAGCCACACAGTGCATCACGTTTGATTTTTTCAGTCCCCAGCACACGAGTTTCCCGATCTAACTTACATAGGGTTAATTACAAATAAACTTAAATGCTCCCCAAACGGCTACTTGCTTCCTAACGAGAAAATTTACATCATAGGGGAACCAGCAAATCAGAGTTAAAATACATTCTTGCAAACTAAAGAAATACATTTGACCTTAAATCTTCCGGGAAAACCATTTCCAACAAATCTGCATAATTATAGTCTCGTGGTGGAAACCAAAAAAAACATCCTATGCGCCGTGTTCTCATACGCCATGTTCACTAGGACGCCTAGAGCTTTTTTTTCTTTTTTCGGCGAACTCAGCAAAGGCAAGCGTGACAATGCAAGCGCTACAAGGACCAACTGAAACGACAACTGGCTCAGGCTGGTGTTGATCACAAAGCCTGGCAGACGCTCGCATCAGATAGGGTCAAATGAAAGGTCAGCTAACAAACACGTAGCTCAGCAGTTCGAGGACTCTAGAGTGAACACTGCCAAGGAGAAACGCAAGCATCGAAAGGAGTCGGACAATCAAGCAACGTCTTGCAGCAATCAGACCTTACCCTACCCCACCTGCTCAAGAATATGTAAATCCCGAATTGGACTCATCAGTCATCAGAGGGCATGCCGCTGATCTTCGGAGTACGAAGAATCTGCCATCATCATCTCCAGTTCTTCCACATTTATTGTTGTTGTTGTTTTTTCACGAAACTACGCTGTTTCTGATTTTCTAGTGTGCGATAAAACATAAATCCTATCGTCTGAATGAGAGTAGATCTGGAAGAAATGCTTCCTTTGAAAGAGGCTGACCAATCCACTTATAGCAAAAGTCATCTGCAGAGTCCAGGAAATAGTTAGTTGCCTGAAATATATACTTCTGGCTCGTGGAAACTGATTGGTCAGCCGCTGTGATGTTATTTGTTGTTTGTGAGTGCTGTTATTCAGTCCTCGGTGTTTGCGTTCTTCGCTGTTGTCAATGTCGTGAATGAGTTGTCTGTGCCAGTAGCTGCTTACAGCTCTTACAATGAGGAGTCTAATTTACTAATAAGCGCCCATGCTCTACTCCCCCGAGTAAGCGCCGAGCCCCCGATACCATGATATCAAACAAGCGCCCACCTCGAATAAGCACAGCCTCTTCCCTCGCTTTCTTAATGAGTAGGGATACAAGGAAAATCGGTTTCTATTGCAGCTTTATTTGTAACTTTTTAAGGACCAACCACAACCGAATCAGTACAGGAGAATAGTTTCGCTTCTAGTTATTGCTATCGCCATACTGACTTGACGTCTGCGTGGATGTTGCAGCTTTGTTTTTTCTATTTAAGATGTAGCCAAAATAAGGAAACAGTTCGTTGAAAGGAAAACTAAATAAGCACGCCCTAGATTAACCACCATCCTCCGTATAAAAGTGCATCTCCTTTTGCCGTAATTTTAGATACGCTGCCCGGACGCCTATTCGAGGAAATGCGGTATTACCTAAATTATATCTTGTGATGTCAGTACAAGCATGAAATGCTGTTGAAAGTGATGCAAAGTGATGCTCGTCTACTGAGGCATGTGTTGAGGCCGATGATTAAAATTTTCCTCCAGTTTCCTCAGTTTGTGGCGGTCCTGGCTTTATAAAGTTGCAATTAATATACATAGTATCTACCTATTCTCCGTAAATGACACTTGAAAGACAAAAAACAAATAACAAAAGAGCTGTGAATAATGATTAAAAGCTTATTGACTACGGAGAAAGTTTACACAATGCTTTCTTGAAGAAACGTCTGTAAATTAAGAATCTTTGGTTTCTACTTTAATATCATACGTTCGTAAAATCTTTGAAATTCTTCGAGCCTTAAGACAGGCCTGTTAACTTCTATTGAATTCACAAACAGACGGTAGACCAAGGAGTAGTTGCTGTGATTGGTCGACGAAATCTCCTTCGAGCAGTGGACGAACATCTCAAGATGGTAGACAGAGAATGTTCTAAATTTTCTTCTACTTTCACATTGGAAGCAAAGAATCAGGAGCCACATTACTGTTATCGTCTTCGTAACACTCAATAACGCGGGAAAAATCGACCCAGCAGCCTCTATCAGGTGCACTGACGGTTAATACAAAAAAAAAAGATCCTATGTCATTTTTTTTAAGAAACCAACCGAAAACAGATGTGTATGAGTAGATGGAAACGTTACAGAATTAATCTCCTGCTTATTTGACACCATCGATGTCACATGGCGTATACATCGAATAAGAATTTCTGGGTTACAGCAATTATCTTAAGCGAAAGACATGACATTACCCACCAGCTAAAGTATCTTTTTCCGTTATATGTTCCGCTGTGTCTACTGTAGCAAAACGGTGGAAACTCTACCTCTGAATAAAGAGAAAAAACTTTCAGTTATCTAAAGTAAGAGAAAATCAATATAAAAGGTGAGTCTTATTTACTAAATCTAAATGCAGGTTTAGTTTTACTATGAATGAGGGGAGAACCTTTTCCCACAAACCTTCATCATGAAAGGACAACGTTTCGATCTTGGGGCGGGTTATCTCGGTACTAAACCTCAATGAGTACCCTCGTTTTATTACCTTCAGAATACATTTCCATGATGCCTATCAATGTTAGTGCTTCAGGACAGCTCCCTAGACAGTGCGTATAAAATAGCTCTTCTGAACGAAAGATACTTACACTTACAGCAGTCGATGTACAATCTTTTAAAAGTTTCAAGTTCACGACCTTATTCACTTTTACCTTTTACTCTTACGTAGTTCTATCAGAGTATTTCAATATTTATATATCAATATTCACCTTCAGCCGGATCTATCTCTATGCCGAGCTGATTTCCAAGTCTAGGGACAGGTCCGACGTACCTGACTGTTCCACGATATTTCTTGCCCCAAAATTCAAACAATACCTTCATACCTTCTTCAATATCATTAATTGATTTAGGCTTGAAGCCCTGTTTCATTGTATCACCTGTAATAAATAACAAAAACAATAGATAATTAAAACGACCATCATACAAAATACATTAGGTTCATCAATAAGACTTCATTTATGTTTTTAGGTCATCAAAGGCCAACACAAACCAATAGTTTTGCTCGGAGCTCAAATGACGTAGCTCTGTGTAACATGAGTTTATAAGCGAATTTACAGACCAATACGCCCCTCCAATACGCCCACTCTTAAAAAAATCCCATTAAATACTCACTTGCGGGTAATAACGTGTCAGATACGAGTAAGAGTGTGATTATTGGTGAGACTTCCATTTCTCTACATATAAAACACACGCAACCCAAAATTTCTATGTTCGCTCTGACGAAGGGCTGCCGGTGGAGACGTTAGCTTTAGAAATTCTTTACGGTGACCAATTTACATCATCAACTCAGTTGATAAAACCAAGATATCTTACTTCCCCCCTCGACGCAGCACCACAGTTTCTTTAGAAACTTACCCAAGCGTTCCACATGCTGCACCAGACCCTGCACAGTGAACGTTAAACTGGCTATCTGCTTTGACTGTTCTGTAATTTTGGCCACCAATCTTTCTATCTGTTGTGACTGATCATTGAATATGGATGTCAATCGCTCAATCTGCTTTGACTGATCTTTAACCTGATTCTGAGTGGTCTCAAGCCCGCATAGAGCTAAGTTCAGGTGGCTTTCCATGTGTGATTCTAAGTGAGTTTTTGTCCTCGTTCTTGGGAACTGAAAAAAAACACGAAGATGCTATTAAACTCTTTTAAAATTAATTCTAGCATTCAGTCTTTGCTAATTTTTTAACTAATCGTTCCTTCCAGTATTCCACAGTTTAACTCAACTGCCGCACTGGGTAGTAGGAATTTTTTAAACTCTACAATATGAAAGAATGTATATATATTTGAAAATCGGTTGTAATTTATTTTCACAATATGATATGAAAATATATGGGCGGCCGTCACCACCAAAAATACAAGGATGTCAAATAGATCAGCAAATACAAAGCTGGTCTAAAGATCAGCTGCAGGATAGCATAGCTAATAAAGGAATGGCATGGCCAAATTATAGACGGTTTAGTTTTCCTTCGTGAAACAGAACACCCTAAACATGGATAGTTTAGCCAAATGATAAACGGTCTAGTTGCCCATGTCGAGTTAAAACATGAAATTGTGAAATGGACTAGCTCAATTGCGAATAGCCTAGCACTCATTTGCAATACAGTACACAAACGGTGTAGCGTTGCGTCAAATCTATTCGTCTGATCTATTTGACATCCTTGTATTTTTGGTGGTGACGACCGCCCATAGAAATACAATACAAACGTACAACCTTCCCACCAAACCAGTAAATTAATATACACTGAAAGATGTTTCATACCGCACTTTGGCATCCTAAGTTCCTGTATTTACAATCAATTTCAGTCAAAGGACAGTCATCACGAATATGGGCCAAGAGCTAAAACAATAAAAAGATGAAAAAGAATTAGTCTTGAGTGAGGAGCCAGGGAAATCCTCCTTCGTGCAAAGAAAAACAAATCATTCGGCGTCTCAAAATTACTCCTTAGATTTCGTAATTTATGAATCAGGAAACTGAATTAAGAGACAACATTTAAAAATGTTCCATAGTAGTCTAAGGCATTCCCCGACAAAATTTAACGGAGCAAACTTCCTTGAAGGGATCGTTACCGTAATATGGACTGTTTCCCTGTCATGGAGCTACCAAGATTAAATTCTGGGGGGCTCACTCAAGGCAGAAAATAACGACCTTAATGTCCTCTGACACTGACTTTATAACCATCCTTTTAATAGACAAAAGTATGGTTATAACGTTACTGTAAAAATTTCCCTGTGTATTTGTGTTGTTCTGTCGTGAGACGAACTCAAAGTCCAGCAAAATTTACTTGCTAGCGACTATGATCATAACGAATAGTGCTAATTAGAAAAATTGTGCCCGCGCTAAAAGCCCGTGCAGCTAAACGAGCCATTCAGGGAAGAGCTCAATAACCCACGTGTATACACAAGTCGTAACATAGCGCACTTTTTGGAATTCTCTGAGAGCTCGTCTAAAACTCCATTCTTTTCATGCACCGTGATCTGTGTGATCATGGATCACAAATCCTAATCCGGATCCTCCTAAAGAAACTCACCCTCGGTAATTCGTAGGTTGGTTCGTCTTTAAATTTATATGTCACGCTTGTCATGCAACTGATATAATAATGTGGAGAAGATTTATAAACTGGAACTCAAATCCGGCTAAAATGTGGTAGAGCATAACTTGATCATCGAAACAGCTAATAAAATCATAAATAACCAAGGTAAGAGTGTTATGTTAGATTTTTTCACAAATTGTAGTGATTTATGCCAGTAAACGGTGGCGGCAAGTAGGCACACCATGTGTATTTCATAGTCGCTAGCAAGTAAATTTTGCCGGACTTTGAGTTCGTCTCACGACAGAACAACACAAATACACAGGGAAGTTTCATATAAAGCAGCACTATGTCCCATACGGGTATGTCCATGAACTTTCAATTAAACTCTGGTTAGAATTACTGAGAATCACTGAGAATATTACATCTTACCTTTTCTCGTGGAATATTACTCAGACCACAGTTTTTGGTGCATTGAACCGGAAACTTTTGACAGACGTTGTGATGTTGCTGAAGAAAATCGAAAAGAAGTTTTTATAGTTAAAGTACTTTCAAAATTCGCCCTGTCATATTAAAATTATGACCAATAAAGACAGGCTGTTGTACTAACGAAATTTATGGCGTAAGTACTCACATTTTTATCAGTAAGGGCTCAAAGTTTTCGAACCCAACATTTAAGACCAACTTTAGTCAGATGCTTCTGTGTAACAATTTTATATCGAATATACCTAGATAAGATACCTAGAGCTCAACAAAATCTTGACTTAATAAAGATTGAAAGTCATCACCACTTTTCCACTTTGGATGAAAAGCAAAAGTTCGAGATGCTGCTCTTGTAAAAGCTATATAAGGAATATATTTTTGTAAACAAACCTGCTCGTTTTTCACGATAAATGATCCTCGACAATATTTACAACTAACTTTCCTCCAGACACATGCCGTTATCGTGTGATTGATCATATCTCGCTTGGTGAGCTTCTCTTTACATCCCTTATTTCGACACTCCACCACTTTGAACAGGCATTCTGACTGATGTTTCTTAAATCCCAATTTATCAAGAATAAACAGCAATGTAATCATTAATCAATCTGCTAAGACATTCAACAGGCTAAAGAAAATAAGGGAGACTTGATTGAACGTGAAACAGTCGGTTAACTGACGGTCTAGGATCTAAGAAAAGAAATGTGAAATTTACGTGTGACTTTTTGATAATAATGATATCCCAAAAATTAGGGATAAATATTAATTAAACGTCTAATACGATAAGCGAATAAAGGGGGTAAGTTTCTAAAGAAACTGTGGTGCTGCGTCAGTGGGAGAGTATAGCAGGTAAGTTAGTGTTAACAACTGAGTTGAAAACGTAAATTGGCCACCGTAAAGGGTAAAAAAGCTGACGTTTCGAACGCTAGCCCTTCGTCAGTGATAAGCACCTATCAAAGATTAGTAGATATTGGGAAAATCTGTCATGTCACGCGCAAACTGCTGACTATGACACCGCAGATTGAAAATGGTAAAACAACACCGCTGTCCACTCCAGACCTTTACTATTGTGCAAGAAATTGTCGAAGTCTTATCTTGTTGCGTCAGTGATTAAGAGTAGAAGGAATAAGCGCAACGCTTGCTTATTATTCTGGAGAAAAATTACAATGCTCAAGAGATTTTTAAATTTTTGGGATTAACTGCAAATGAGGTGATGGAGAACGCCCTTACGTGGATTTGACGTAAATATAATACCTGCACAGCTCGGAGTTCTCCCTTCCAAGGACACCCAACATGAGAACATTTCACCTTGAGATCCAGAATTTTGCGATGACAAGCGACATCTGGAAATATCTGAGAACCCAGACACAAGCATATTCACGGGCAATACATTCTAATCAGGTTACACTGATGTCAACAAGATAATGCTTAATTACGATCTTTCACTCTTCAACAAAGGCGTGGAGGACTTGAAAGAAGATATAAAAAGAATGAGATCTTGAGCGAGAAAAAAGAAAAAGAAAAAAATGCCGTCAGTTTTTGCTTGTAGCATAAAAAGAACGGGCAGTGTTTAAATGGACTGGCAGTATTAAAATAAAACTATAATGCACTATTACAAGATGGATTTCCCAATTCTCCAGCTTCTACGCAAAATTTTCTGGCTGAATTTACATGGCTGGAGCTTTTTTTCCAATTCAAATCAAGGGCATACGTTTTGTCCTCCACTTGAAGATAATTAAGAAAGGAAACGCACTTTCTATCGGCTTACCGGCGCAATAACCCGCGCAGGATGTAGGGAGAACCTCCGCTAGCTCGTGATTTACAAACTTTTCTCGTGTTCTTCCAACATCCCGAGTAAGTTGTTAAGCTGTTAGACTAATAGAAATGCAGTCTGTTGCTTCCAAATTAACTTCAATTCTCTGTGGTTTTACCCTTCGGAAAACGCCGAATTGAGCACCATGCCGAAGAGAGTAAGACGCTTAAATTATGACTGATTATGCAATCGGAACCATGCGGTTACTCAATATTTTTCACGCAAGATGCGGCTTCGTCGAATTGCTCTTGCTGCAAAGGCTGTCCTTTTGGTAACATACTTTGTTTGATGCTGAATTCTTGTCTTATCTTTAGGCTACTCGTTCTACAAATATTCAAAACAGCCCTCAAACGCTAACATCCCCAAATGTAACGTTGCCTAAATTGAGTACTGCGGGTCTCCTACAATGATTATTACCATTCCTGAATTATTTCATTGACGGTCATGCCAGGTTGTGAAAATGGTAAGAGAAAATAGAAGATAAATTGAATGCGTAATACCCATCACTACCACGTTGTAATCACACAGCAGTGGTAGTGTGTGATTCAAACAAAAAATAACGAAAACCTCGGTTTTGATAAAAACGATCTGCGATTGCTGATTATCAAAAGCGCTTACAAAAATATCAAATTATGAGACAGAGCCATTCGTAACTTGTTGCTTAAGTTGCAAAATCCTTCGCTATGTCCCTATATAAACTTGTCAAAACTTAAAATAAGATACAATGTAAGAGCTCAACCATTAACTCCAAAATTTGTAACTTTATGTCAAGTAAGGCAAGCTTCATTATTCCCAGCTGTCAGAATAACAGGCTGACGAATAACAATAACAATATTACAACAGAAGCAGATTGTCGAAGAAAAGAGCTAGAGAGTTCTAAAATAGGATAGGAAATCCACAGATCAGCTGTCTGTATCGAGTCCGAATAGAGTGCGAGACTTTATTTTAATCTTGATTATTATCAATATACGCGGCCAAATAGAAAATCGGCCTCTTCAAAACACACGCTCAGCGGGCCGCAAAAGACTGACAGCGGGCTGCTAATGCATTATCAGCCCTACAGCTGATTGGTTCTTGCTTCATCATCCGATGGATTTTAACCAATTAGAGTAAGCCTAGCGTTGACGCGGGAAAACCATTCATTCGCGAAACTCCGGTTTTGAACTGCAGTTTTTTCAGTCGTCGAATCGTCTTCGAGCGAAAACTGAAGTAATGGAAGAAATTAGCAGTCAAAACTCAGATTTGGGGTTAGAAGATTTGGACAAATTAGAAGCAAAAGGTCAGGCGGAAAAAAAGGTATTATTAAAACTCGCATTCTTGATATCATTTGGCCTTGTTTATTGATAATAATGATAATGACATGACTATTTTCGGGAATATTGTTTATTTGCGCCCGCTTCGCGCTCGGGCCGCAAATGACACTACGCGGGCGCAAATAAACAATATTCCCTCAAAAAGTCATGTTATTCCCTTATTAACATGTGCACTTTCTGTGCGTGCCCAAATTAGTACGAGACTTGAGGCAATCTTACTATAGCTAGATATGTGCGTTTTCTGTGCGTGCCGAATAGAGAGTGAGACTTGTAGTCAACCTAAATTGACATATGCGTTTTCTGAGCGCGCTGAACAGAGCGCAAGAAGTCATTCACACTTGACATGCCAGTTTCGTGCGTGCCGAATAGAATACGTGTGTTGTAGTCAATCTTGCTTGACATGTGAGTTTCCTGAGCGTGCCAAATAGGGTACGTTTTCTGTGTGTGTTGAATATAGTGCGAAACTTAAGGTAATCTTACTTAACATGTGCGTTTCTGTGCGTGTCGAATAGAGTGCGAGTATCGTAGTCAATCTTTCTTGATATGTGCGTTGTTTCGCGTGTCGAATAGAGTACGAGGCCTCGACGTCAGCCGTACTTAATATGTGCGAAACTTAAGGCGATCTTACTTGACATGTGCGTTTTTGTGCGTGTCGAATAAAGCACAAGACTTGTAGTCAATCTCACTCGACATGTGCGTTTTTTGTGCGTGCCGAATAGAGTGCGAGACATGAATTTAATCTTACTAACCATGTGCGTTTTAAGCGTGCCGAATAGAGTACGAGTTTGTAGACAATCTCACCGACATGTGCGTTTTCTGTGCGTCCTGAATAGAGTGCGAGACTTGAGGCAATTTCGCTTTACATATGCGTTTTTGTGCGTCTCGAATAGTGAGCGAGACGTTTTCAATGTTAATTGACATGTGCAATTCTGTGCGTGCCGAATAGAATACGAGTGTTGCGGTCAATCTCACTGGAAATGTGCGTATCTGTGCGTGCCGAACAGAGTACGAGACTTGAAGTCCGCCTTACTTAACATGTACGTTTTGTGTGCGTGCCGAATAGAACACGATACTTGTAGTCAATCTCATTTGACATGTGCGTTTCGTGCGTGCCGAATAGAGTACGTGTGTTGTAGTCAATCTTGCTTGACAAGTATGTTTATATGCGTGCCAAATAGTGTGCGAAACCTGAGGCGATCTTACTTAACATGTGTGTTTTGAGAGAAGTCGAACTTTTAGTTAAAGCGATATTTTACAGATATATTTAGGAAGTACTCGCCGAGAAAGCGATAAAGTTCCTATTCATGGAACGGGAAAGCTGTGACAAGGCTATACCTATGGGTAAAGCACTACGTGAGGACAAGGCGTTAAACACCGTTTATTTCGAAAAAATAGAATGAGCTGCTTCCAAAATTAAAACATCCATCCGTGGTAGTTAAAAAAGTGAGAGGTAGATTCGAATATCATATCAAATAAAGAGATTTTTGGAGACAACTCTTCGAAAAATAAGATATTATGACGTCGCTTACCTAGCGATGGTACTTCTGAAGATATGGTCACGGTGATACTCGCAGTAAAACAGAAAACTAATATCAATTCTGCATGCACTCTTCTGGCATCCTGATAAGTTCTTTACTCGTTTGACAAAAAATATGCGAAGAGGATCGCCCGCAAATAACTGACGGGATTCTTACTATAGATAAAAACAGCTCAAGTCAGTCCCACAAGGGGAGAGATATGAATTGTTGATGCGTTGAAAAGTTTTTATAATCCTGATAACGTACAGTATTAGGGAAAACGAAATCGTTGGCAGAGTTCTTTTAGGTTCGCGAGTAATTTCTTTATCGGCTATCACATTCTTTACCAATTCAAACGTTTGTTAACTTTGGGGAATATTACGATGTTATCTTTTCCTAATATTTGTATTATCTCTCCCTTGAAAATTTATTTTTATTTTATTTATATCAAAGCCATATGTTACAATAAAGAACATTATCATTAATTGATCGTGTTGTTGTCCTTATTTTGTTGGCAAAATTGTCGCTACCTAAATTTAAATAACACTACTTGAGTATTAGTTAATCAGGGTAAGAATTTCGAGACCCGCGGTACTCAATTTACGCAACGTTACACTGAGGGATCTAAGCGTCTAGTGGGCTTTTATGACTCTTTGTGAAACGAGTAGCCTAAAGATTAGTCAAGAATTCAGCGTCAAACAAAGTATGTCACCGAAAGGTCAGCCTTTAAAGCGAGAGCAATTCGACAAAACCGTATTTTGCGTGACGAATACTGAGTGACCACATGGCGTCAACTGCATTGTCCGTCATAATTTATGCGTTGTGCTCTTTTCGGCATTTTACAGGCACCCATTTGACGGAGAATGCGTTTCGAGTTGTAAGTTAAATGCTTAAGGATCTGTTCACCGAGGGCAGAACGTGGAATCGCTAGTTTGCGTGACCCGCAAGTATGAAGACATGGGATATCATTACCTTATCACGTGAAAGAGGCTGTCTGTCTACAGGACATTTCGGAGAATGGCCTCTGAGGGAAGGAAATTTGCAACATCAGTCAAACAAAAGAATCAGACAACAAACAAAATCTTTAAAAATCGGTTATCGCGTGTATTATTTATTATAAAGTCATTACTGGGCCATATCTTGTTGCGGAATCCATAATGATAGACTTATAGCATATAATTAACATTTGCATTTAAAAGACAAATTGTAATTAGTTTCAGTCGATTCATGTTTAACAAAGTAAACGAGAAAGATCAAATCATTCGATAACTCTCTTAGACGCGCTTGTGCTGAAGCAATGTTTTATGCCGGATAAAGCTATCTAGCAGTTATTTCTATATAGCTAAGGCACACTATGATACCCCTTGGAAAGTGACTCAACCGGTCAATATCGTAATTCAACTTTCAGATAACCTTAATTGTTTTCAGTTGTAGCTTGTTTCGACATACAATGATTCGCCCTTACCTCAACAAACTCTCCAAGCATATGTTACAAATTCTGTGGCCACATCCTCCGATCTGTATGGGATCTTTCATTGTTAACTGACACACAGGACATTCAAAATCATCGGGAACTACACTTGTAAACTCAAAATCATAGCCTCCAAGCTCTGGAATATTCTGACCCGCCGCCATTGTGATCTGGGTTTCAGAACGAAGCCGGAAGAGAGAATTAGGTGTGCGCATGTGTGACTTTCAGAGTAACAAACCTAGTTCCCAAACTCTCTGAGACTCAAATAAGGCCCTCTGACTCCAGCGCTAGGAAAAATCCCAACATATATTCAATATTTGGGAGACAAAACACGCATTAACAGATCAAAGAACAACAACAGAGGCGGGGCATGGGGGAGCACTGCACAAAACTAATCTGTACTGAGTACCAACTGGCACAGCTTGCTGAGTCGAGAGGGAAACAAGAAAATGAGAATTTTCTAAAAAAGAAATTTTAGGAAATACATAGAATACTAAGCCTGGGGTAGAATAAAACCCCCGAGCAAAGTGTGCAATATCCACAGGAGTGCTCTGTCTGTGTGTATAACTGAGCGAGAAACCAATGTCCCTGTAATTGCCTAACAAAGAAAATTAATGAAGGTTGTCCGCTTTGAGTAAACAAAGCCTCCACTACGCCGAGGGGCTTATAGCAAGCGACTAAAGCCAACTGCAGCCACAGTGCACTTGCCACTGCTTTCCTGTATCGCCACATGTTCAGTGGAGTTTCATGAAAAATTGTTTGGTTATGTTGATCATACTGTGGATGAAGTACTGTCTGTACCTGCGTTTGATGTTAACAATGACTGAAGAAGATCCAGGTATAATTGAAGACGGATATCAATACACAAAGAGGAATCGCTACATAGTTACACCATACTGAGATGAGAGAATTCCAAAAATACTGATCGCAGCATTAAGAAAGCATACGGACTAAATTACAGATGTAGCGACAACTGTAAAACGCTTTAGGGCCTGTTTACATGGAAGTGAGAGCTCAAGTAGGTGAGGTAACCCGCCCGTACATATAATCACTTGTTTTATCTTAATCGTGTTTACAAGATAGATGGGGTGACCCGTCTAGGCGGGTTGGCAGGGTTAACCTACTGAGTAGATCGGGCAGCTGAGATGACTGCAGCAATGACGCCACAATATCACTATAGTACACTAAGCTTAAGGTTTATGCAGACGGTCTTAACTATGAGGGTTCAAACTGAAATTAGATTTGTGTAAAACATTTCCTTATCCAAAAAGTGATTTGAATCAAAAACCAAAATAACTTGCAAGGGAAAACTTATATTAAAAACATAAACAAAAACTTATATTAAAAATATAAATATAATCCTATTGCTCTTTCGAACATCTTGAGCTGGAACTCAGGGCTACGAAGTATTTTGTCCGTTTAATTGTCTTGTACCGTCCTCCTTCATCCAATGTGTCACTGTTTTTTGATGAGTTTGCTTGCTATCTTGCCCATATAGTAATGGATCAGGCTATTTGCTGATTGTTGCTGACTTCAACTTTCATGTTGATTCTCAAAATAATGCTGGTCGGCGATTTACTGGCCATTCATTTAACCTTCGCCAGCATGTAAATGATTCTACGCATAAGACCTCGTTATCACTGGAGAGGAACAATCTTTCATCAAGAATCTCAAGAGTCTTTGATCCTGCATTTTCTGATCATTTTATGATCCGGTGTAATCTGGATTTTGTAAACATGTTGCTCAATATCAAATGTTATCTTTTCGACGTTTACGTGCCATTGACATGTGTAAGTTCTCCTCTGACCTGGAAGACTCCGCGCTAATTAGATCACCTCTAAATGATGACCTTTAATTAGCTTTTGATCAATTCAACTCCACTCTGCAATCTATGATTGAAAATCATGCCCCAATCATTCGTAGGTCTGTTACCCTTCCCCCTTATGCGTCATGGTTTACGGATGAAATCAAAGTTGCAAATAGAAAGAGAAGAAAACTGAAAAGACGATGGCGCGGGCATAACACCGAAGCTAATCATCTATTATACACAGAACATTCTCGAGAGGTGAATGACTTGATTCGTTGTGCAAAAGAAAACCAATTTTCATCTATAATTGAAAGCAACCAAGGAGACCAGAAAATATTATTTAAAGCAGTTAATAATTTTTTATACAGGAAACCAAAAGTACTTTATCCTTCTGTGGGTTCGGATATGGCTATAGCTGAAAAGTTCAAATCATTCTTAATTGACAAGATACGACGTATACGCGATAGTTTACCTGTTCATAGTACTGGATTTCCGAATGTCCCTTACTTGGATAACTCTGCGACTCAATCCCGGTCCTGTGAATTTGCGACTTTTCAACGTGTTTCTACTGACCTTATAGCTAACTTTATTAAATCCTCCAGAGTGAAAACTTGTGCTCTCGATCCCCTACCAGCTTCTGTGCTAACTTAATGTTTACCAAGGTTGCTACTAGTCATAACTGATATTGTAAATCGTTCATTAGATGAGGCTCTTATACCAAACTCACTCAAAACTGCCTTGATTATTCCATTGTTAAAGAAGACTAATTTAGATACTGAAGATGTTAAGAATTTTCGTCCTGTTTCTAACCTTCCGTTCGTCTCTAAATTGATTGAGAAATCGGTTGCGGCACAACTTGTGCAGTATATTGATGACAACAACCTTGATGAGAAATTACAATCTGCTTACAAGAAATTGCATAGCACTGAGACTGCCCTTCTGAGAGTTCATGACGACATCTTACGTACTGTGGATCGTGGCTGTACTGTTGTTTTATTACTGCTCGATCTCTTTGCGGCATTTGACACGGTCGACCGTGGTTTATTACTTCACAGACTTAATACTCGGTTTGGTATCAAAGGCAAGGTTCTTGCTTGGTTTAAGTCTCATCTCACAGACCGAAGTCGATTTGTTAGCATAAATGGATCAAATTCCTCTCACTCTGATTTGATTGTTTGGAGTTCCTCAGGGATCTGTTCTAGATCCGATTTTGTACTTATTGTATACGTCTCCTCTCGGCGACATTATAAGAAGAAATAATATGAACTTCCATTTCTATGCAGATGACTGTCAGATTTATTTTTCGCTCGACTCGGTTTCATCAGTTACTACTACGAGAATCGAAGCCTGCCTACAAGATATTGGAACTTGGATGTCATTGAACAAGCTTAAACTAAACGATGATAAGACTGAGCTTTTGGTCATCGGATCGGGTAATTTGTCTGCTTCTCAGCTTCCTTCGTTTACAGCGACTGACGGTTCTGTTATACAGCCTTCGCACTCTGCCAAGAACATAGGTGTAATCTTTGACAACAAGTTAAATATGGAACGTCAAGTTTCTGCTATTTGTAAATCTGCATTTTTTCACATCCGGAATATTTCTCGGATTAGAAAGTTTTTGTCAGTTAGTAGTACTAAGGCGTTATTACACGCCTTCGTCACATGCAGATCAGACAACTGTAATTCTCTGTTATATGGTCTTCCGAAATGTTTAGTTCATAGATTGCAATTAGCCCAGAATTGTGCGGCATGGCTGATCTTATGTGGTCGCAAGCATGATCACGCTACTCCTTTACTGAGGGAAATGCACTGGCTCCCCGTGGAGTAGAGGATTATTTTTAAAATCTTATTTTTTACTTTTAAAGCTTCAAATAATTTATGCCCTAGTTATATCAGTGACTTGTTAGAAACTTATAAGCCTATTAGGTCTATACGATCATCGAGTAGGAATTTGTCAATGATTCCTCGCTCCAAGTTGAAATCTTATGGCGATCGCGCCTTTTCTGTCTCTGTACCTAAGCTGTGGCATGACATTCCTGAAACCATAAAATGTAGTGTAGATCTTAACGCTTTTAAGCGTAATCTTAAAACTTATCTTTTCAAGCATTATTTTTATGAATGATTACCTTTGATTGTTATTTTTATTTTTTACTTTGATTGTGAAGCGCCTTAGAGCTTTTGGATAGGGCGCTATATAAATTGTCATTTATTTATTTATTTATTTATTTATTTATTTATTTATTTATTTATTTATGAACCACCCACGTCCAAATCCTACTATATGCTCTGGGTAAATACAACTGAAAGGGAAGAGAAACCATGAGCCTTGGAAAATTGTATGAAAAAATCAGAGAAAGAAGCGCATCCTTGTGACATCAAGACAATGATTGATGAGCGTAACGTTTTCCAAAAATTGATATACATTTGGTTTCTTTTTTCATTTCGCTATTTCATTAACTGTATTCATCCTTCATATTGACAACTTGTATTGTTGTAGACTGACAACCAAGAATACATACCTTTTATCAAAGTAATTATGAGCTTTCATAGATTTAACTGGCAGGTTGTTACATTCATGGAAAATCAAATATTTACCACTATCAATTCTACGGTTTTGTCATGAATACACGATTCAAAGATGCCCAACACACAATTATTTCTGTGAGCATATATTGCAGTTATGCTAACAATGCAATACACGTTATTTTCAATCTTCCTTTACTTCTTCATCTACTCAGTTTTTGAGCTGGTGAGCTTTTTAGAGCGAATGGTTTCACTTGCATGTAAGAAATTCAGATGGGTATTTACGGATACGAAATTTTATATAATTTCTTTTGTTTTGCTATATTGTCGTTGATCGATAAGAATTTAAAGATAGAGACAAAACTTTTGAATCTGTAATACATGTTTCGACAGAAACTTCTGTCATCTTCAGTTAATTAATGTACAAAGCATTTGTTGATGTTATCATTTTTCCTCTGTTATTGAAAACTCGTCCCAGACGGCTTAATCTTAAATTTTTTGCGGACTTATTTTAGGGTGGAGGTGCCTTTGGGTAGAGTAAGAACTTTTGCTTTGCTTTTTATTTGCACTTGGTCATCAACACGCGTCTATTTTTCCGCTAAATCAACAGTTGTCCTCAAAGGCTACCAGCACTTTTCATAAATTTCTTATATTGAAGTGTGTTACGGTTATTTGACTCGAAACTCGGGTAGCAATTGGTTAATTTCAGATCTAGGCCTTTTCAATGAAAGTGAACGAGAGACCATGAAGTTGGGTCACATAAAAATGTTGAAAGGCTGTTGACGGCAGGATAAGCTTACAAGCTAATTATGATGACCGACGAATGAACACCTGCATCAAAAGAGATTGCAACAGAAGTAAGATGCAATTCTTTAATACCATACGTTTGTAAAATTTTTGAAATTCTACGAGCCTTATGATAAGCTATGTTAACTTATGTTAACTTCTATAGAATTTACAAACAAACGGACCAAGGAGTAGTTTCTGTGATTGGTCGACGAAATCTCCTATGAGCAGTGAACGAACATCTCAAGATGGTAGACAGAGACTGTTCTGACTTTTCTTCTTCTTTCACATTGGAAGCAAAGAAACAGCAGCCACATTACTGTTATCGTCATCTGTAACACTCAATAACTTCACAAAACTCAATGAAGAGGCCTCTACCTGGTGCACTGAGGGTTAATACAAAAAACAAAAAATATCTGTTGTCATTTTTAATAAATCAAACCGAAAACAGATGTGCATGAGTAAATGGAGACGTTACAGAATTAATTCCGTCCTTATCAATATATCTTACGCCATCGATGTCATGTGACGTATAAATCAAATAAGAATTTCTGGGATAAAAAAATTATCTTAAGCGAGAGACATAACATTACCCACCAGCTAAAGTATCTTTTTCCCTCATACGTTCCGTTGCTCTCACGGTGACTTAAACAACTCGGTACTTCTGAAAGAAGAAAAAAAAAACTTTCAGTTATCTAAGGTAAGAGAAAATCATTATAAAAAGGCGACTCTGTTTTACTACTAAAAAACACACTAACAAGTTGTTTTAATCTAAATGCAGGTTTAGTTTTACTATGAATGAGGGGAGAACCTTTTTCCACAAACCCTCATCATGAAAGGACTACGTTTCGATCTTGGGGCGGGTTATCTCGGTATTAAACCTCCATGATTACTCTTGTTTTATTGCCTTCAGAATACAATTTCATGATGCCTATCAATGTTAGTGCTTTAAGACAGCTCCCTAGACCAAAGCGTATAAAATAGCTCTTCTGAACCAAAGGTACTTGATACAGTCTTTTTAAAGTCTCAAGTTCACGAACTTACTCACTTTTACTAGGAGCAATAACTTTCTCTTAATTTTATCAGTACATTTCAATGTTCATAGATCGATATTCACCTTCACACGGATCTAATTCTACGCCGATGAAATGAAGTACACGTTCGTGTACAAGTACAGGTCCGACGTACTTGACTGTTCCTCGAAGTTTGCTAAACCTTTGATAAAACAATACCTTCATACCTACTTCAATATAATGGATTGATTTAGGCTTGAAGCCCTGTTTCATAGTATCACCTGTAATAAATAACAAAAACAATAGACAATTAAAATGACCACAATACTAAATACATCACGATCATCAATTAGACTTCATTTAAGGTCATAAAGGCCGGCATAACCCAGTAGTTTTACTCGGAGTTCAAATGACTCAGCTCTTCGTAATGTACATACACACCAGTACCCCTTTCCGCCCCTCAAAAAAATAATCTTACCAAATATTTTAATAAAGTCCGGGTATAACGCGCGTTGTCATTGGTTGAAACAGCGTGCTCTACCAGAGTGTAGAGCATAGAGCAAGAGAAATGAATAAAGGGGTAAGTTTCTAAAGAAACTATGGTGCCGCGGCAGGGGTATTTATAACAGGTAATTTTGTGTTAATAACTGAGTTGAAAACGAAAATTGGCCATCCTAAGCAGTAAAAAGGCTGACGTTTCGAGTCCTTCGTCAGAGCGATTGAATCCGGCGGAACAAGTGAGTCGGCAAATAGAAGGACTAAACAAAGGTTTGCTGCATGTCAAGCGCCGTAATTGGCGTAATTATAACGTAAGCAGAGACGAAAATCCTCAAAGAGAAAGAAATTGACATTCCGAGTTTTGAAGGTTTTCACACTCAGTTAGATTGCAAGCTTACATACGGTAATAAAAATCAAAACACAGCTGACACTCGTGTAGTACATATAATTTCGTGTTCAAAAACAAAACAGAACAACACGGGAATGATAAAAAATATAGCCAAACTGGCATAACTGTTAAAATTCATCAATTGTGACGGTGTCAGAGCGACTGCAATTATGCTGAGGTCCAACACGATGGCTCATAATGGCGATCTTCGGTCATCGCGGTGAAGCAAGCCTCAGAAATTATATCGGCCGCCCTTCCAGTGAAAAAATAAGAGCTTGCTCTGGTATCCTTTCCGATGCGTTCATTGGAAGGCTACATCACTCAAAGCAGCCAAGTTTTACGACGCCGTCATCCCGATCAATCTTTATATTTCTGTGAATTCGGTTGTTGCTCATTCATAAAACATACGCCTTGAGCAGTATGTTTTCTATCTATCATGGAAAAAAAATCGCGTGTTTTTATGAGCCACAATTCGGCCGGATTTCACCGAACATTTCACTTTCAGATTCTGTATTAGAGACTAAATTACTTTAGGCAACAGTGTAGGATTCGACTTGCCGAACTATTTCAGTTTGTAAACTACTCAAGATTGTAAACTTTCATGGTTTGTGAACTTTAATGGTTTGACATTTTTGACAGCTTTAGTCTTGTTCAACCAATCAGATTAATTGAACCATTCTATCAAGGATTCTGATCGGCTTATTGTAGCTTCCTTTAAGAGAGTATAGAGCATGCTGACGACACTGTTGTTCGCTTTGGAAAGAAAATTTGTTTCAAAAAATAGAAAGCAATGAGTGGGGAATTTAGCGGATTCTTTATCATAAAACAAATAGAGAAGCCTTGACTCCTCTCCGTTCTATCGTAAGGCACGTGGGAAGCGGCTCGACTGCGTCTCGTGTGTCTCTCTACACTTCTTTCGTGCTTTAGCCGCTTCCTACGTGCTTTACTTTGCGAGTAATAATGTTTTAGATACGAGTGAGAGTGTGATTATCGGTGAGACTTCCATTTTATCTACCTATAAAACGCACGCAACCATTTCTCTATTCACTCTGACGGAGGGTTACCGGTCGAAACGTCAGCTTTAGAAATTCTGTCATCAACTCAGCTGATAAAACTGACCAAGATATCTTATTATACCCCCCATCGACGCAACGCCACAGTTTCTATAGAAACTTACCCTCTTTAACATTGGCATTGGTTGCCCCTATCTTGTTTGTCTGGTCCTTCGTTTGCTTGGTCGCGGTTTGGTCCACCATTGCGGCTTGATATCGAGGCTGGCTTGTCAGAGGTTCTACCTTGTCAGAGGTTCTACCTGCTGCACCAGTGGACGTTAAGATGGCTATCTGCTGTGACTGTTCTGTATTTTTGGCCACCAATCTTTCTATCTGCTGTGACTGATCATTCAACTGCTGAGACTGATCCTTGAATTTGGATGTCAATTGCTCAATCTGCTTTGACTGATCTTTAACCTGATTCTGAGTGATCTCAAGGCTGCACAGAGCTAGGTTCAAGTGGCTTTCCATGTGTGATTCTAAGTGAGATTTCGTTCTTTTTCTTGGAAACTGAAAAAAAGACGATGTTGTCATTAAACTCTTTTAATACAATCCAAACATTAAATTTTTGTTAATTATTGATCTACTTGTTCCTTCCAGCAATAAACAGTTTGATTCAACTGCCGCACAGGTTATTAGGAATTTTTTAAACCCTACAAAATGGAAAATTTTTACATATTTGACATTCCGTTTTAATTCATTTTACAACATGATATGGAAATACAATACAAACATACGACCTCCCCGCCAAACCTGCAATTTAATATAAACTGAAAGCTGTTTCATACCGCATTTTGGCATCCTAAGTTCTTGTATTTACAATCAATTTCTGTTAAAGGACAGTCATCACGAATATGAGCCAAGAGCTAAAACAAAAAGATAGAGAAGATTTAGTCTTATGTGAGCAGCCACAGGAATCCTCTCTCGTGCATAGCGAAAACAAATCATTCGGTGTCTCAAAATTACTCCTTAGATTTCGTAATGTATGAATCAGGAAACTGAATTCAGAGACAAAATTTAAAAGATGTTCCTTAGTAGTGTAAGGCATTTCCCCTGCAAAGTTTAACGGAGCAAACTTCCTTGAAGGGATGGTTACGGTGTTATGGATTGTTTCCCTATCATGGAGCTACCTAGATTCAATTCTGGAAGGCCCATTTAAGGCAGAAAATGACGACCTTCATGTCCTCTGACTGAAGCCAGGAATATATTCAAAACAATAGTGCATGTTCTTTGACCACTTGAGCACGGAACGTCTCCAAATTGCTCACATAAAACAAGACTTAGCCTGAGGCGTTTCAGATAGAGCAGCAATATGTCCCATGAGGGCTATGTGCATGAACATTCAATTAAACTCTCGTTAGAATTACTGAGAATCACTAACAATATTAAATGTTACCTTTTCTCGTGGAATATTACTCAGACCACAATTGTTGGCACATTGAACCGGAAACATTTGACAGACGTTATGATGTTGCTGAAGAAAAATCGAAAAGAACTTTTTATAGCTAATGTACTTTCAAAATTCTCTCCGTCTTATTAAAATTATGACCAATAAAGACAGGTTGTTGTACTAACGAAATTTATGAAGTAAAATACCCACTTTTTTATCAGTAAGGGATCAAAGTTTTCGAACGCAACATTTAAGCCCAATTTAAGTAAGATGTTTCCGTGTAACAATTTTATATCAAATGAGAGAAGATACCTAGAGCTTAAGAAAATCTTGACTCAATAAAGATTGAAATTCGTCACCACTTTAAGATGCTACCCTTGTAGAAGCTATATAAGAAACACATTTTTGTTAACAAACCTGCTTGTTTTTCACGATAAATGATCCTCGACAATATTCACAACTAACTTCCCTCCAGACACATTCCGTTGTCATGTGATTGTTCATATCTCGCATGGTGAGCTTCTCTTTACATCCTTCATTTGGACACTCCACCGCATTGAACAGGCATTCTGACTGATGTTTCTGAAATCATTATTTAACGATAATAAACTGTAATGTAATCATGATCCAATCTGCTAAGACATACAACAGGCTAAAGAAAAGAGAGACTTGATTGACAGCGAAACAATCGGTTAACTGACGGTTTAGGATCTACGAAAAGAAATGTGAAATTTACGTGTGACTTGTTGATAATAATGATATCCCTAAGACTAGAGATAAATATTTAATAAACGTTTAGTATAATAGGCACCTATCAAAGATCATCAGACAGGAAGAAAATCTGTCATGTTGCGCGCAAACTGCTGACCATGACACCTCAGATTGCAAATACCAGAATAACACCGCTGTTCAGTCCAAATTGAAATGTTTGAGATTTTTAATTTTTGGGATCAACTGTGAATGAAGTGATAGAGAACGCCTTTACGGTGAATATGACGTAGATACATTACCTGCACAGCTCGGAGTTCTCCAGTCCAAGGACAGATCCAGGATTCTGCGATGACAAGCGACATCTGGAAATATCTGATAACCCAGACACAAGGATATGTTTTGTACTCTACTTGTAATAATTAAAGACAATTCTCCTTTTCCAGCATATCTCCCAATGAACCGTGATCAATCACAGGCATTGGTGAGTAGAAGATAATTAAGCGATGGAACGCACTTTCTATCGACTTACCGGCGTAATAACCCACCCATGATGTTGGGAGAATCCGAGAAACGTTTGTCAATCACTTGCCTCCACCAGCTTGCGATTTACAAACTTTCCTCGTGTTCTTTCAACATCCCAAGTTGTTAAGCTGGTAAACCAATAGAAAATGCAGACTGTTGCTTCAAAATAAACTTTAATTTTCAGTGGCTTTGCCCTCGAAGAATCTGGCTTATTTTATAAAAACACAAACATTTACCTGAACATGAACGTCGAAGAGTGAAGATCCTATGTCAATTAAAACAAATTTCTGCGTTGCTTAGGGTTAGCGAAACCCTAAGCAACGAAAGAGCAAGGGTTAAACGAAAGAGCAAGGATGTTTTCTACCCTTATGCCTGACATGTTTTGTTTTGACTTCATTTTGCAATAGGGGCCATCCATTTGAAGGAAACTGCGTTTCGAGTTGTGCGTTAAAATGCCAAAAGATCTGTTCCCTGAGAGCAGAACGTGGAATCGCTAGTTTGCGTGACCCACAAGTAAGAAGTTGTGCGTTATCGTTACCTTGTCACGTGAAAGAGGCTCTCTGTCAAGTGGACATTCTGGAGAATGTCTCCTGAAAGAAGGAAATTTGCAATAGCATGCAAACAACAAAATCAGAAAACAAACAAAATATTAAAAATCGTTCATCGTGTGTATTATGATTATTTACTTTCAAGTCTTGGCGTTTTTCATCGCTGGGCCATATTCTGTCGCGTGAGGAACCCATAATGGTGGACTTTTTGCATGTAATTAACATTTGCATTTAAGTGCCACTCTCGCTAATAGCGGTCCTCTCGCCTTCCCGTCCAAAAAAAGTTTTCCTTGATTTTTTGCCCATGAAAAGGGTTTAGGACACATATTTCAATAATAGTTTGATTGATCTCTAATTTTCTTTTTTCGCGTCGCCACAAGCCAAAAATGATTTTTGGCTAGACCCCTTGTGTAGACAGCGATTGAAAGTGTAATTTTCATAGATTTTGTCGAGGGTGCTGCGACTGCAATTATGTAGCTCACGGAATTCTCTCTTGCTACAAGTTGCAAGATATATTCAGTCAGTTCACAGACAAAATATGAAAACTTCACTTGAAATCTTATTCATACCAGCGTGATCAGAAGTGAACCTTCCCTTCGACCTTAATTTGCATATTAAAAATTCATCAATTTATAAGAAATAATTCTCGAAATGCAAGTGTAAATCAGGCTAAAAAAAACATATCAGTGGATAGTTTATACATCAATGAGGTCACTGCTTGTCTCAAACCCGCGGGTATCTCGCTAGATTTTATCCACCAACATCTTGAAAACAACGCAAATCCATGTGTTTACTCAATTACGCACATGTCAAGGTTATTTGCATAATTACGAAAATTGACCAAAATATCTCTTTGACCGTTCAAACTTCGTTTGTTTATCTTCTACGTAAATTGTTTTAGGTTTTTATAACAACTAGATGGAAAATTAATCCCAAGTTGTCTTAAAACGTTGCATAAACGAGATGAGTCGTAACGCTAGCAGGACCAACAAAGTAAACAAAAGCGACCGAAAGACGTTTCCCTTGGATCAGGTCATAATCCACGCACAGAGTGGAGAAGATCAAAGTTAAAGAACACAACTTGGCACTCTGGTCATTGCATATATACTGCGTAGTTTAAAGGTAAATGGAAACAATTAAAATACACGTACGTTTCGGTATTATTTATAAAACAATAGGTGTACACTCTGCAAGAATCCTTGCAGTTTCGACCAAGGTTTAGCACACGGAATGCAATCATCAGGCTTTCCTTTCTGAACATTTGCTGCCATCATTAAACCACAACGTTCTTGAGGGACGACTCTAACTATTCCTGCGACCATTCAAACCAGTTAGGCAAACCCGGATTGGTGTATTGCGTGACGCGATTATGCTAAATAGTTCACTTGATATATGACTCGTTTCGCGGGTGTGAAAATTGAACCTAAAAAGTAGTTAATATAATGTTAATTAGAATGGACTGAAGTAAAGGAAATGGGGATGGTATTTGAGTTTGCAATGTTGCACCCACCTCCTCGTCCCCGCCCCACTTCAAAATTCATGAGGGGGGCCATGGTCCCAGCATACCTCTATCCAGCCCCCTCGCTTAAGCTAAGGTTGTGCCCCACGTGTTTGCTTGGCGGAGAGGAGAGTTACTTCAGTTATTCATATGTTTTGAGATATTTATCCCAAAAAAAATGTCTACTTGTTTCTTGGAAAGCAAAGATTGTAGTGGTTGCGGGCATTTCAGCGGAGTTTCAGCCCCGATATCTCTCCTGGAATGCCAGGACGACGTATCAAGTCATTTAAAGTACTACCACCTATCCAGCAAAATCTTAGAGTACGAGTTGATTTTGTTTCGTTCCGGTCATTTTGGCCTCGAAATGGGAAAATTAAAACAGATGTTTGTTTGTTCTAAACATCGGAACGCTTTGGGAAAACATTGGAAATGTGGTAAAAGTACTTGCCAGCATCCAGAGCACAAAGGAAAATGTGAGGCAGTGAAAGGAGACCGAGTGTTCAACGCCAGATTGGCTAGAGATGTTTTCAAAGTTTACGGAATTATAGTTGCAGTCGGATCACGTGAGTAATATTACTCAATTTCTCGATTGTGAGAAGGCTAGTATCTTTCTAATAATTTATTCGTAAGGGCCTATCTGCCCTTGCAGACTGAAATAGAATCGTCTCCATAAAATCATAGGACAACTTTTTGCCATGAAAAATGTCTCTGTTTTTGCATCGGCTTAAAAATTTCAAAGCTGTCAAATTTCGTCAGCGCTTGATCTGCTCGTATGACTGGCCGGCATAATTTGCCAATGGATTCAAACTTGAATTGCCAGGATTCATCTTAAGTCTTTTCAAAGTTTTAAAAATCCACGAGTTTCGCAAGAAAAGACTACTACTGTCTACTCTGGTGGTACCTTTTGTAACAAATGATGGACAAGTTTAACACGGCTTTGTTTATTTAGTCGCTTTAGTCCAGTTTTCACCCGTGCACTGGGAGATTTTCCTGCTTCAGCCAATATTTGTCAAGTCGCGACAAACCATCCATACTTTTAGAAGGTGTTGTTGAGGATAGAAAATGTTTCGAGATAAAAAATTTTTTGTTGATATGGATCCGGATAGGCCCTGAAAATTTCAAAGGTAAAATTTTGGGCTGAAATTTGAAGCCGTTTTTCAAGGAAAATATAATTAAGTCTTGAAATTCAAATAACACTACTAACCTTTGGAACCAAGAGATAAAATGTTCCGTTAATTGCTCTTGTTATAAGTAATTAGAGAGGAAAACTGGAGCGAGAACAAAACCAGGGAAAAGGATGTCCAAATGAAAATTGCAATGAATAAAAAGGAATTTATAAAAAAAAAAGAGAGAGGGAGTAAAAGCCAATTCCTGAATATTACTTCCAATCACCACGAGAACTAGTAAAAAACATTGCCTCAGTTTCGTTTTGGCGTTTTAATGGCATAACAATATACAACTTAAACAAACAAGGCAGCCGTTTTAAAAAAGATTAAACAACGATGATAGCTGCACCGATAAAGTTCGCATCCAGAGAATATAACAGTTTATAATCTCTTGAATGGCAATGACCATGACGATACTTTTTTCGCGCAATAGGTCAAATTAGGTAAATTATAAGAATAACTTTTCTGTGCACATTTCAGCCATCTGAAGCAGCTGCAGAAAGTTACATAACAGCCGGTTAAAGAATGAGTGGCTCCGGCTAAGAACATCGGGGGAGCAAAAACGGCTTCTAGCCGAAGAAAAGGATTCTTGTGGCATATCATACTTGTCGAGGTACGTATACTGATAACTTTAAATCATGCGTCTAACATGCAAATGATTTGTGAGGCTTAGCGCAATTAGTCCGCATTTGTTTCACTAAGAAGAGAATGGGAACTCTCCATTAGTTTACCGACGTTGATAAATGTAATCAATTACCGACTGCCTTGCCTGATTTTGACTTTTCAGGGAAGCCAAAGAGGAGGCAAAATCGGCGATGTTTTTTTCTCCAGCTGAAGGCGTCGAAATACACAATCGGGATTCCACTTGGACTCCTGAGCAGTGGCATGAAATGGCTGAGGTTTCGTCAAACGATGACTCATCAGATGAAAAAGAAGTTGATGTGCACGTGTTAAAGGCCTACAATGAGGCTATGACAAGGATTGCTTCACTCACAGAACAAAAAGTTAAACATGTTTCCGTTAGGCTTTCAAAGGAATGGGAAGAAGCAACGGCAAATGAAAAAGCCCTATGTTTAGATCACGTGGAAGAGGCATGTCGCGCTGTTTGCAATGTGATCGCTCCACGAGACAGCGAAGAGTTATTGCAAGCCTTTAAGACCCCGGCAGTAAATGAGGTTTGCTCGGATGACTTGATCACGCTGATAACCGCATACAAACAGGCACCTTCGAAGAACCTGAAAACCCAGATCTTGAGCATATATGCACCGCGCTATTCAGCGAGATTCTTAAAAAAAATTCACGAGCCCTTTGAAAAACTGAGCGATCGACAAATTAAGAAGGCAAGGGCTCATGCCAAAAATGTCGGTGCTGGCTTTAACCTCAACAAAATGCCACACCACAGAGTCCGAATAGACTTGGTGAAACTTGATCATTTTCTGTCTTTTGTAGACCAACCATATTTTTATCAAGATGTGGCCTATGGAACAAGGACTTTAAAACTTGACTCTGGGGATCATCTCGTCATGTCAAATGTCATCAGAATTGTTGGACGATCAACGATGATTGAACAGTATCTTAAACACTGTTGCGAGGAAGATTTCGACCCCCTTGGAAAATCAACGCTTTACAGAATTTTGCAAGTAAGAGAGGCCTCTCAAAGGTGGTCCCTTCAAGGGCTAGACAACACTGCAGTAAGCGGAGCGGAAGGGTTCGAAGCAATGCACAAGATAGTAAAGGAATTGGAGGAGGGTGGGGCAACTGAAAAGTGGTGTGAAGAAGTTCGAAGAACACTGAAGGATGCCAAGCGATACATGAAGACAGAGTATGGGATGCACTGTCAGGAAGATGGTAGTCCTTGCCCTGACCATAGTATGTGTTTTTCTTTAAGTGATCCTCAAAACCCCGAGTTTCAAGGAAGTTGTTCCCATGAACATCAAGTTAGCTGTGATAGTTGCGAAAGTTTGAAATCCGTGATTCAGGCAGTTGGAAAAGAAATTGAAACTCCTTCGATAACTTTTGACAACATATAGAAGAAAGAGGACCTGAAACACGACCACGATGAAGCCAGAGAGGCGATTTTTCAGTGGCAGGCGCATATCATCAGGACTTAGAACCAGGAGAGAATAAAACAGAATTTGCTCACGTCCCTCCAAAAGAATGCCTCCCTTATTGTCATGGACTGGGCCATGAAGTTCATCCAACTGAAATACAGAGAAAAGCAGTCTGAGTGGTTCGGAAAGAGAGGAATAAATTGGCACGTTAGTTCAGTTATTACCAGGAATGCAGAGAACAACGGCCTTGAGATTGTCATATGTTCATCTATTCTAAAGCTGTGCCCAACACTGGTATACGGTTTGCGCAATTCTGGAAAACCTTCTCGGCAACATCAAACAGATCAAGCCTACCGTAAACGAGGTATTTTTGCGATCAGATGGCGCAGGCTGTTACCACAACAATAATCTAATTGCAGCTGCCTCTAACGTTAGCACAAGGGTTGGAATCAAGGTGATGAGGTAAGTTAAAAAGGCTTTTTAGATTACAACACGAACACATTCTTCAAAGTTGCATGCGCCTTCCAAAAGCAACTTGATCGACTTCAGAACTAAACTTTCATGCTGTTTCTGTTCATTATAGTAAGTGGTATTTCAGAGCCGACACAAACAAAATAGATCAAAATCTTTTGATAATATACTGCAGGAATGTAATTATCCTCTGAACCCTTGAAACATCACATACTGTCGAACCCCTGTTTAAAAGCGAATTAAAACGCATTTTTGCTAAACCGCAGTAGTTTACTTATAATTGCTCTATGCAAAGTACAAGTAGCGAATGAATGCTTACCTTTCTCAAAGGACATCCTAGGAGAATTCAAGTAGGTTTGTCTATTTACCGTATTGTCCTTTTGTTGCCTCTTCTTTAGAATCGTTAGAAGTATAATTTTCATTTTAACATTTTCATGATGAGCAGAATGTGCTGGTAGAGGCAGGAACATACACTGAACTTACGTAGCAACATCTGTATTAGTATGACAGGTATTGATAGATCAGTTATTCTAACTGAGACACTTCCTTTCCTTATTCTAAAGGTATGATTTTTCTGAACCTCAATCTGGCAAGGATGTTTGCGATCGCATCATCAGTCCAATGAAAGGGGCAATTCGTAGATACTGCAATGAAGGCCATAACATTTTGACAGCAGCTGACATGCACGAGGCATTGAAAGTGAGACAAGTGAAGGGATCATCAGCTGCTGTTTGCGAGATTGATAGTAACAGAAAAGAAGTAAAAATTAAGCGCATCAATAATTTCAGCTTTTTTCACAATTTTGCTTATGAAAAGGACGGTCTTCGTCTCTCAAAAGCCTATGGGGTCGGAAAGGGCAAATTAATACCATGGTCAGAGCTTATCCTTGAGAAGCATGGCCCTGTTGTGTTAAGGGAAGTTGGGAATCATGGTTTCTTTGCCATAGCACCACGAGCCATAAAACAGAATCGCAGTCACAGCCAAATTTCCAGCGATAATAAAGACATGCTGTTTCACTGCCCAGAACAAGGATGCTGCTCTGAGTTCACTTCTTCAGAAGAACTCCAAGATCATGTGCACCTCGGGAAGCACAGCGAGATAAAAGCTTCTGAAAGCCTTTAAGACAGCCTTAGACGTGACTGGGCCATGAAATTTTCCTCCCTAACACTTGAATCAAAGATAGCAACACTCGAAGTAACGGGCAAAGTTAAAAGTGAAGTGTGCAAGATGGGCTGGGCTCTTCAGAAAACGCGAGGCAGTGGAACAAGGTTCACGGAGAAAGTGAAAGGGTATCTTTCAAGCAGGTTTCAAACCGGTGAAAGAACAGGCAGAAAAGCCGATCCCGCGCAAGTTGCAGCAGAAATGAGAAAGGCCAGAGAGGCAGATGGTGCAAGAAAATTCATCAGAAGTGAATGGCTAACGAAGAACCAGGTTCAAAGCTACTTTTCGAGGCTTTCTGCTACGAAACGAAGAAGAGCCGCAAAAGATCAAGAGCAGGATGCAAACGACGAAGACGAAGAAGAAAGCGCTTACCTAGAACACAGATTAAGGACAAAGGAGGTAGCAGATGTTACTTCCGAAATCGGACTTACTCATCCAATATTATTTGATGGACACAATATTTGCGATCATGTTAACCACGACACGTTAAGGAAGTTTAAAGTCACCACGCTGAGGGAAATGTGTGCTTTTTTTGAAATTGCTTTCAAAGCCAGAGATTTAAAGGCCACCTTACTCAAGAAACTAAATGACATGGTGACAGAATGCATATGTTTCCAGGAAATTTATGAAGGCTATTCCTAACTCTGTGCTTCATTTCATTTCATGACTTTCGATACTAAAATTCGTTATCAGAAGTGTAATTTGTGTCTTTGTTTTTGTTACCAACAGTTGCATGGCATGAATTAATTAGCATAGTCACGCAACGCAATATTTGCCTAGCTGGTTTTGATGGTCGCAGGAAAAGGTTAAGTCTGTCGCAAACAACCTTGTGGACTCTAGGAGCATGAAATATTTAATGATGGCGGCAAATTTTCAGAAAGGAAAGCCTGATGATTGCATTCCGTGTGCTAAACCTTGATCGAAACTGCAAGGATTCTTGCAGAGTGTACACGTATTGTTTTGTAAATAATACCGAAACGTACGTGTATTTCAATTGTTTCCATTTACCTTTAAACCACACAGTATATATGCAATGACCAGAGTGCCAAGTTGTGTTATTTAACTTTGATCTTCTCCACTCTGTGCGTGGTTCATGACCTGATTCAAGGGAATCGTCTTTCGATCGCTTTTGTTTACTTTGTTGGTCCTGCTAGCGTTACGACTTATCTCGTTTATGCAACGTTTTAGGACAACTTGGGATTAATTTTCCATCTAGTTGTTATAAAAACCTAAAACAATTTACGTAGAAGATAAACAAACGAAGTTTGAACGGTCAAAGAGATATTTTGGTCAATTTTCATAATTATGCAAATAACCTTTACATGTGCGTAATTGAGTAAACACATGGATTTGCGTTGTTTTTAAGATGTTGGTGGATAAAATCTAGCGAGATACCCGCGGGTTTGAGACAAGCAGTGACCTCATTGATGTATAAACTATCCACTGATATGCTTTTTTAGCCCGATTTACACCTGCATTTCGAGACGAGAAGTCGAGAGGACCGCTCTTAGCGAGAGTGGCACTTAAAAGACAAATTATGATTAGTTTAAGTCGACTCATATTTAAAAAAGTAAACGAGAAAGATCTTATCATTCGATAACTCTGTTAGATGCACTTGTGCTGAAGCAATCGAAGACACCTAAAAGGCAGCCAACAACTATTTCATGTAATATTTGATAGCTTTCCGTCGAATTCACAAGTACTCACACTAAACTCTAACCTGTTTGAATTGTTTTGTGCCGAACAAAGCTATCTAGTAGTTACTTATATATAGCCGAGGCACACTATGATACCCTTGGGAAGAGAATCAATCGGTCAATATCGTCATTCAACCTTCAGGTAAGCTTGATTGTTTTCAGTAGTAACTTGTTTCCGTCAACAAACTCTTGCTTCGTTGTCTGGCTACAACTGATCTGTCCGTTGGTCTTATCTCCCAGCCACTCTCTGTTGCTTTTTGGATCTCAATTGTGGTCTGGACTTTTTGCCGATTATTCAGTATTCTGTCTTTTATGGCTAGTTACTTATTGGGTTCCGTTTCTTTGTTGACGCTGACAGTAATTAGTGTGGAAAGGCTTCTCGCCCTAATGCTTGGGTTGCGATACAGACAAGTTGTAACGTGTAGGCGAATTTCCGTGACTCTGGCTTTTATCTTGATAGTATCTACAATGGCTGCAATGATCACACGATGGAATGACCTTATCACAACATGGTATGACTACATTGGTATATCACTGAGTTTAGCGACCTCAACTTTTTCCTATTCAATGATTTTCTGGAGGCTCCGCCAACACCAAACTCGACTAAATGTACAGACAAATCAGATGAGTGCACTTGATTACCCGATACAAAAAGCTGTCTCGAGTGCATTGTGGCTGCAGTTGGCATTAATAGCTTGCTATCTGCCATTTCAAATTACAGGTATTAATTATGATCCGAACAATGTTACACCATCAGTCTTTCTCGCTGCTCAGCACACGTTTATTTTAGTTTACCTAAATTCAACATTAAATCCCATTCTTTACTGCTGGAAGATTGGATAAGACAAGCTGTGAACGACATATTAAGGAAATGGTTTTGTTCATAATAGGCTTATATAATTTCTTCACTCTACGAACCATTTTGGTTACAATTCGAGATAGGCGCTTCTTTGATATTATGGCATCGGGGGCTTGGTGCTTACTCGGGGAAGGGCGCTTATTAGAGCATGAGCGCTCATCGACATTTTAGAACAGACTCTTCATCGGAGGAGATGCAAGCAGTTACTGGCACAGACAACTCATTCACGACATTAACAACAACGAATGAATGCAAACACCGAGGACTGACTAACAGCAATTACCCAAACAACGAAAAACATCACGGCAGCTAACCAATCAGTTTCCACTAGCCAGAAATATATTATTAAGGCCAACACCTCTTCCCTGGACTTAGCTGATGACTTCCACTATAAGTGGAGTGGTCAGTTTATTGCATGCTAGAAAATCAGTAACTGCGCAGGTCCATGAAAAAATCAAAGTGCTCTGTGAGCAAACTCGTGAATTGACACATGATTTTGACACATGATGTTTAATGTTATCTGGTTTAGGGAATTTTGTGGTTGATTGTCATATCTAGAGTACGAGCAGTAGTTCAGCATTCGCTAATGTAGCAAAGAAACAAAGTAACGTTGGGATAAGAAGGCATTACAATTGAAATGATCATGCCATTACATTTGACAAGGTGGATGATGTCATGTGTTTTAAACGTCTATTATTTTTGTTTCTGGTTCAAAAGAAAAGGTTGGAAGTAAATGTGGGTGAAAAGTGAAATTTACTGTCTTTCATTGTAAATATTAGAAAATCAAGGCAATACTGTCTTAATGAAAACATTAACGATTCCCTCTTTATCAAATCAGACAAACTGGAACGAGTTTTGAGTGATATAACTAAGCCAAGCCTGCCACCGTCATTTTGGATCTCCGCCTGGGTAGATTTAAGTCACGTGCTAGGCAACGTATAATCAATAACAAGATAGAATTTCATTTCAGGCCTATTTATCAATTTTGTGGTGTGTAACTTTCGCATTTTAGTACGTTGTATGTTGAATCTTCAAATTGTCTTGAAACTTAAAAGAAAACTGTTCTTTAAAAATTCACTGAAAATCGGTAGCTAAAATTGTTTGTTTAGGTGTTATCTGATTTTCGTGTTAACTTGTAATTTCGTCAGTCGCCGGCATCTTTTGTTGCTTCACACAGGAAAAACACACGCGACGAAACGTAATGATCAATTTTGTCCTCAATCTCACGCCATAACAGAAAAAGCTTTTGAACATCTGTAAACTTCGAGCGCTTCGCAGTAAGTAATATTTTCAATGAATCTTCGGATTGTTTTCGAGTTCAAGGATTGTAAATTACAATTTTATGAAAAACGAAGGTTGTTCTGTTATTTCAGTGTGAATCCTTGCATGCCTGCCAGTCGCTGGCGCCGCTTGTTGAAACTAAAACGAAAAAAAAAACTCTTTTAAGATTATCATTGGCTTCTTTTTCACCCCACCACTATTCTTAGCAACAAAGGTCGCCATTTCTTCTGTTTACTGTTCGCTAAAAACTATCAAATGCACTCAAAAGCCTAAAATCTAAAAAAAGTTTACAGGAATCGACCAATCGAGCGAGCGAGCGAGCGAGCGAATGCCATTCCCCACATGGTATCTATAACTCGCTCTTGCGCATGCGCGCAATTCACGAGTTAAAAACAACAACAACAACAAAATCGAAAAAGAAATGTGGACTTGAAACTAGAAGAACTGGTTCAAAAAAAGAAAAAAGAGGAAAACGGTGCGGCTTAATTTGTCATAGGACAAGCTCTAGTAATTAATTAATATATAGATTTTGCCAAGCCTAAAAGCGGAACTCGCATTTTGTTTCCCGCACTTCTCACGGGCACAACGCCTTGCCTCGGCCAGGAATAGAACCCGGGTCGTCCGACTCGGAGCCCAGTGCACTGACCACTGGACTACTGAACAAAGCCGTTGCGTTGGCGTGCCCGCGGTACAGTTGACCACGCATGTTAAAAGTAGCACCTTGTACGGTTGTACCGTCGTACGGTCGTACGGTCGTACATCCAAATTTTTTCGGCTTGATGGGTTACTACTATTTTGTATAATTATGGGGCTACGCTCTGCGAGCTCCGCTATAAATAGGTGGGTAAATTATAGTTCTGATCCGTGTACGTCCTGAAAAATGGATCGAAAGACACTGAAAGATATCGAAAGATGGATCGAAAATACTGAGTCAATAGCATAGGATGTTTGTTTTGGTTTCCACTACCAGGAAGGCTAATAGTGTCTGTATTTGTGTTAATTTGATAATATTATGAGTTCAATAAAAATTTCTTAGGACGCTGAAATTTCGCCTAATTACGAAAAATAAGCTGGTGTTTTATCAATACAAAAAAAACTTCCGATATGTTTACAGTTTCCTCAACAAAGACGTCATAATTAAATATTTCATGAATAATTAAATTGCATTTTCATTACACGAAGACCAATCAGCAGGTAGCTCGCAGTGATATATAACTCCAAATTGAGTATAAAAACTCATTAAGTCATTTCTGTCGCTTAAAACATGACGATTTACCAAAACATTACTGAAAATTTAGAGGAGAAAACCTACGAGCGGTTGTTTTGCTCTCAGGAAATAACTGCAGGAATACGCGGCTATCTGATATTTCTTTCGGTGTTCAATGTTTTGCTGGCCATTTGTTCATCTCTGGGGAATATTCTGATCCTGATTGCCCTTCACAAAGCGACTACTCTTCACGCGCCATCAAAACTGTTTCTCAGATCCCTGGCTACAACTGATCTCCTTGTTGGTGTCATTTCTGAGCCTCTAACCGTCACGTACTGGATTTCAGCGGTGAGAAAACGATGGGATGAATGTTATAATATATTTCTCACCAGTTTCATTGTGGGGTATCTCCTCTGTGGCATATCTTTGTTGACAATGACTGCAATAAGCGTGGACAGACTTCTTGCTTTGTCATTAAGGGTAAGATATAAACAAATTGTGACGCTGAACAGGGCACGAGCAATCGTTCTTGTATTCTGGATTTTTTGTGCTGTATGCTCCGTGATGCATGCGCATGATTCTCGTATCACAACATGGTACACCCACATAACAATACCTGTTTGTTTTGTAACCTCAATTTTGTCTTACACGACGATTTTTTGGAAACTCCACCGCCATGAAATTCAGGTACGTGGCAACATTATCCAACCTGAGCAGTCAAACAACTCAAGTTCAGGGCCACTGAATATTTCTCGATATAGGAAGGGAGTGTTCAGCGTAATGTGCCTACAGTTAGCAGTTGCTGTTTGTTATCTTCCACATGGTATAACTACAGCTTTGTGGACCTATAGTGGACGGTCATCGTCTGTTACTGTGCTCAGACAATTTACAGTAACTCTAGTTTACGTAAATTCAGCACTAAACCCGTTGCTTTACTGCTGGAAGATCAGAGAAGTGAGACAATCGGTTAAAGAAATAATCAGAGAAACACTTTTCTGTTTATAAATTACAAGGCTGGGGCCTGGAAGAGCTTGTAGTTAGATTATAGAATTGATGATGGCTTAAGCTTTTCTGAGAGCTAGGCGCACTTTCGGTAAAAGAAATTCTTCCTTTTGTAAAATTTCCAGTTATTTCGATGCCTTCTTATCACGATTGGAAAAGCCGCTATTCGGAGATAACAGTCTGAAACAATATTAATTTCCGGCATCAATTTGACTTGCGCAAGCAGTGACTGTCAAAATGAACAGATGCCGTATAAAAAAAATAGACGATTATAATTTCGATTTAACAAATAGAGAAGCCTTGGCTGTGCTCTGTTCTGTTATAAAGCACTTATGAAGCGGCTAGAGCACTCAAGAAGTGGGAAGAAACACTCGACTACGTCTCGTGTTTCTCCCTACACTTCATAAGTGTTTTATTTAACAAATAGAGAAGCCTTGACTGTGCTCTGTTCTGTTATGAAGCACGCAGGAAGCGGCTAGAGCACGAAAGAAGTGTAGGGAGAAACACGAGACGTAGTCGAGTGTTTCTTCCCACTTCTTGAGTGCTCTAGCCGCTTCCTAAGTGCTTTATAACAGAACAGAGCACAGTCAAGGCTTCTCTATTTGTTTTATAATAAAGAATCCGTCAAATTCCCCATGTAGTACTTTCAATTTTCAAAACAAACTTTATTTCCAAAGCGAACAACAATGTCGTCAGCATGCTCTATACTCTCATAGAGCACGCTACAATAAGCCAATCAGAATCCCTGTTAGAATGGTTCAAATAATCTGATTGGCTCTACAAGACAAAAGCTGTCAAAAGTGTCAAACCATCAAAGTTCAAAAACCATCAAAGTTCACAATCTGCGATAGTTTACAAACTAAAATAGTTCGGCAGGTCGATTTTAACGCTTTTGCCTGAAGTTTTTAATACAGAATCTTCAAGTGAAATGTTCAGTGAACTTCAGCCGAATTATGGCTCATAAAAAACACGCGAGTTTTTTCACATGACAAGGTAGAAAACAAACTGTTCAAGGCGAGTGTTTTTTAAATGAACGACAGCCGAATTCACCGGAACATGAAGATCACTCGGGATGACAGCGCCGCAAAACTCGACTGCAGTGACTGAAGTGACTTTCTACTCAACTTATCAGAAAGGATATCAGAGCGAGCTCTTATTTTCTCACTCGAAGGCCGGCCGATGTAGTTTCTGAGGCTTGCTTTACTGTAATGACCGGAGATCGCCATGCTAAGCGAGCCGCGATGGACTTCAGCATGATCATATTTGCTCAGACACCGTCATGATTAGTATGAATTTTAACAGTTATGTCAGTTTGATTATATTTTTCATAATTTCTGTTTTGTTCTGTTTTTTTTTTTAACTCTGAACTTTATATACTATACGAGTGTTAGCTGTGTTTGATTTTTATTACCGTTCGTAAGCTTGCAATCTAACTGAACGTGAAAATCTTTAAAACTCGGAATGTCTATTTTGTTTTTCCTTTGAGGATTTTCGTATCTGCTCACGTTTTAATAATGTAAATTACGGCGCCTGATATATTTACAAACCTTTGTTTGGTTCTTCTGTTGCTACTTGCCGGCTCGCTTGTTCCGAAATTTCACTTTCAATTATCGGAAAAAAGCTAAAAAGAAGTCCCGGAAAAGGTCGAACATAGTACAATTTGACAGATGGCGTGACAGCTCTAACTCAGATCTATGCTCTATACTCTCATAGAGCACGCTCTTTCAACCAATGACAGCGCGCGTTATATCCGAACTTTATTATAAAACAGAACAGAGCACAGTCAAGGCTTCTCTATTTGTTTTTATAATAAAGGATCCGTTAAATTCCTCAAGCATTACTTTCAATTTTCAAAACAAACTTTATTTCCAAAGCGAACAACAGTGTCGTCAGCATGCTCTATACTCTCATAAAGCACGCTACAATAAGCCAATCAAACACACACTAAGGTATCAAGGACCATATATCTGGTCCAAATTAGAAAATGGTATGCGTGAACTACCAAGCCTTAGTATCTTTAAAACTAGAATCCGTAGAGTTGACCTGGTCAGCCTAGTGGAAGACAGTGGCAACTGCTGCAATCTTTGCAGCACGTGATTTTTTTTAATTATCTGCATGGTACAAGTATTTTTATGTTATCTGAACATTGTTAATATTTCTAAATATTTTTAAATTTTAATGCATAGTTTATCGGCTATATTGTTACTTATTATGATACTGTACATAGTTTTTTATTAATTTAGTAATAGTGGGTGTCCCCAATTAGCTCTATGAGCTAAATACATTGACACGGTAATAAAGATTTTATCATTATTATTATTATTATTATCCCTGTTAGAATGGTTGAAATAATCTGATTGGCTGTACAAGACTAAAGCTGTCAAAAGTGTCAAACCATCAAAGTTCAAAAACCATCAAAGTTCACATTCTACGATAGTTTACAAACTAAAATAGTTCGGCAAGTCGAATTTAACTCTTTTGCCTGAAGTTTTTAAGTCTCTAATACAGAATCTTGAACTGAAATGTTCAGTGAACTTCAGCCGAATTATGGCTCATAAAAACACGCGAGTTTTTTCACATGACAAGGTAGAAAACAAACTGTTCAAGGCGAGTGTATTTTGAATGAATGACAGCCGAATTCACCGGAACATGAAGATCGCTCGTGATGACAGCGCCGCAAAACTCGGCTGCAGTGACTGATGTGACTTTCCACTCAACGTATCGGAAAGGATATCAGAGCAAGCTCTTATTTTTTCACTTGAAGGGCGGCCGATGTAGTTTCTGAGGCTTGCTTTACCGTGATGACCGGAGATCGCCATGATGAGCGAGCCGCGATGAACTTCAGCATGATCATATTCGCTCAGACACCGTCATGATTAGTATGAATTTTAACAATTATGCCAGCTTGGTTATATTTTTCATCATTTCTGTTTTGTTCTGTTTTGTTTTTGAACACTGAACTTTATATACTATACGAGTGTTAGCTGTGTTTGATTTTTATTACCGTACGTAAGCTTGCAATCTAACTGAGCGTGAAAATATTTAAAACTCGGAATGTTTATTTTGTTTTTCCTTTTGGATTTTCGTATCTGTTCACGTTTTAATAACGTAAATTACGGCGCCTGGTATGTTTACAAACCTTTGTTTGATTCCTCTGTTGCTACTTACCGGCTCGCTTTAGTTCCGAAATTTCAATTTCAATTATCGGAAAAAAGCTAAAAAGAAGTCCCGGAAAAGCTCGAACATAGTTCAATTGGCAGATGGCGTGACAGCTTTAGCTCAGCTTCTTTATGCTCTATACTCTCATAGAGCACGCTCTTTCAACCAATGACAGCGCGCGTTATATCCGAACTTTATTATAAATACTAATATAGCATAATAAAGACTAATAGTTAATTTTTTTTTGTTTGAGCAATTACTCTCGTTTAATTTTATTGGTTCATTTTAATAATCATATAACCTTGACCTGGATCTAACTCTACGCCGATGCAATCTCGAGATCCAGCGACACGTCCGACGTACTTGATTGTTCCTCGTTTGATATAATTGTTCCTACCAAAAATATACAGTTTAATTTAACTTCCGCACTGGTCAAGAGGAATTTTTTAAACTCTAAAAAATGAAAAGATATTTGACAGTCCGTTGCAATTCATTTTACAACATGATATGGAAATACAGTATAAACGTACGACCTCCCCGCCAAACCTGCAATTTAATATAGACTGAAAGCTGTTTCATACCTCATCTTGACATCCTAGGTTCTTGTATTCACAACAAATTACTGTTAAAGGACAGTCATCACGGATATGAGCCAAGAGCTAAAACAAAAAGATGAGAAAGATTTGGTCTTGAGTGAGCAGCCATAGAAATCCTACCTCGTACAAAGCGAAAACAAATCATTCGGCGTCTCAAAATTACTCCTTAGACTTCGTAATTTATGAATCACGAAACTGAATTCAGAGGCAAAATTAAAAAATGTTTCCAGGCATTTCCCCTGCAAAGTTAAACGGTGCAAACTTCCCTGAAGGGATGGTTACGGTGTTAGGGATTGTTTCCCTGTCATGGAGCTACCTAGATTAAATTCTGGCAGGCATGGCAGAAAATAACGACCTTAATGTCCTCTGACTGAGGCCAGGAAAATATTCAAAACAGTAATATACGTTCTTTGAACACTTGAGCACGGAACGCCTTCAATTGCTCACATAAAACAGGACTAAGCCTGTGGTGTTTCATATAAAGCAACATTATGTCCCATGCGGGCTGTGTGCATGAACTTTCAATTAAACTCTCCTTAGAATTACTGAGAATCACTGAGAATATTAAAAGTTACCTTTTCTCGTGGAATATTACTCAGACCACAATTGTTGGTACATTGAACCGGAAACTTTTGACAGACGTTCTGATGTTGCTGAAGAAAATCGAAAAGAAGTTTTTATAGCTGAAGTACTTTCACAATTCGTCCCGTATTATTCAAATTGACCAATAAAGACAGGCTATTTTATTAACAAGATTTATGGAGTAAAATACTCACATTTTTATCAGTAAGGAATCAAAGTTTTAGAACCCAACGTTTAAGCCCAACCTTTGTAAGATTTTCCCGTATAACAATTTTATATCAAATGAGAGAAGATACCTAGAGCTCAACAAAATCTCGACTTTATAAAGGATGCTGCCCATATAAAAGCTTTGTATAGAATTAATCTATTTTTAACAAACCTGTTTGTTTTTCACGATAAATGTTCCTGGACAATATTCACAACTAACTTTCCTCCAGACACATTCCGTCATCTTGTGATTGTTCATATCTCGCCTGGTGAGCTTCTCTTTACATCCTTCATTTGGACACCCCACCACCTTGAATTGGCATTCTGACTGATGTGTCTTAAATCATAAATTATCGATAATAAACCGCAATGTGATAATGATCCAATCTGCTAAGATATACAACAGGCTAAAGAAATGAGAGATTTGATTGACAGAAAAACCATCGGTTAACTGACGGTTTAGGATTTAAGAAAAGAAATGTGAATTTTACGAGTGACTTGTTGATAATAATGATATCACTAACATTGGTGATAAATATTAAGTAAAAGTCTAATTTAAAAGGCACCTATAAAAGATTATCAGACAGGAAGAAATTCTGTCATGTAGCACGAAAACTGCTGACCATGACACCGCAGATTACAAATAATAAAACAACACCACTCTCAAGTTTGGACCGTTACTGGTGTACAAGAAACTGTTGAGTTGAGCCCTACAAGTTACCCCTATCTGCTTCATATAACATGTTATCTTGTTGCCTCGATGGTTAAGAGTAGCAGAAATAAGTTTTTGGGATTAACTGCAAATGAAGTGATGGAGAACGCCCTTACAATGGATATGACGTAGATACATTACCTGTACAGCTCGAAGTTCTCCGGTCCAAGGACACCCATTGTAAGAACATTTCACCTTGAGATCCAGAATTTTGCGATGACAAGCGACATCTGAAAATATCTGACAACCCAGACACGGACATTAGTCATATTGATGGTCAATAGATTCCAATCAGGAATCAGGTTACACGGATTTCAAGATAATTATGCTCAATTACGATCTTTACACACTTCAACGACAGTATGGAGGACTTGAAATACGACAGAAAGAGAATGAGATCTTGAGCGAGAAAAAAGAAATGCCGTCAGTTTTTGCTTGTAGCACAAAAAGGACGCGCAGTATTTAAATGGCTGACTGTATTAAAATAAAAGGTAGTCATCGGTGATCGCCGAATTCTCAAGCCTTTATGCAAAATTCTCAGGCATGGACAAATACTATATGCCATATTCCATAGGTTCAAATAGCCATGGCTATTCAAACCGATGGCATATGTTTTGTACTCTACTTGTAATAAAGACAATTCTCCTTTTCCGGCATTTCTCTCAGTGAACCGTGATCAATCACAGACAATAGTGACTAGAAGATAGTTAAGCGATGGATCGCACTTGCTATCGACTTACCGGCGTAATAACCCCCCAGGATGTTGGGAGAACCCGAGAAACGTTTGTCTCCGCTAGCTCGTGATTTACAAACTTTTCTGGTGTTCCTTCAACATCCCGAGTAAGTTGTTAAGCTGGTAAACCAATAGAAAATGCAAAATATTGCTTCAAAATAAACTTTTATTTTCAGTGGGTTTGCCCTCGAAGAATCTCGCTTATTTTATAAAGACACAAAAATATACATGAAAATGAACGTCGAAGAGTGAGGATCCTATGTAAATTAAAATAAATTTCTGCGTTTGTGACAAACGAAGGAGCAACGATGTTTTCTACCCTTGTGCCTGTTTTGTTTTGACTTCATTTTGCAATAGGGGCCACCCATTTGAAGGAGACTGCGTTTCGAGTTGTGCGTTAAAATGCCTACCGATCTGTTCACTGAGAGCAGAACATGGAATCGCTAATTTGCGTGACCCAAAAGTATGAAGTTATGCGTTATAATTACCTTGTCACGTGAAAAAGGCTGTCTGTCAACTGGACATTTTGGAGATTGGCTTCAGAAAGGAAATTTGCAACAACAGATAGACAAAAAATCAGAAAACAAACAAGGTTTTAAAAAAATCGTTCATCGTGTGTATTATTTACTATTATTTACTATGAAGCGTTTTGCATCGCTGAGCCATATCCTGTTGCGTGAGGAACCATAATGGTGGACTTGTTGCATATAATTAACATTTGCATTTAAAAGAAAAATTAAAATCAGTTTAAGTCGATTCATGTTTAACAAAGTAAACGAGAAAGATTATGTCATTTGATGACCCTGTTGGATGCGCTTGCAGTGATGCCATCGAAGACACCTAAAAGGCAGCCAACATTTGATGAATTGATAGACCTTTTTACAGTTCCCGGCGTCATATTGGATTAGTAACCGCGCACACACGATAACGAGGCTGGGGTTGACCCGGCGGTTCTTTCAAACAGCTGATCTGTTGACATCTCACGATCTAATGCACTTTTCAATGCGATTTCTCCCTTCAAAATAGTTCTTTAACACAACAATATGAAAATTTCGTCATTAGATGACATCCAGAAACTCGAAGCAAAAGATCTCAGGGAGATTTTAAAATAGAATTTAAAATCGACGGGTTGAATTAGAGCCCACTTAGTGCTTTGCTGATGTGACACGTCCTTCCATCGAGTAATGGAGAAAACCTAGAACTTCTTACAGATGTCCAGGACCTAGAACAAAACCAGAGCGACTTCAAGTACGAAGTAACTATGGAAAGGATTTCAGCCCTTGGATGGGCGAGCAATCTCCGTAATTTACCTGAGATGAATTTCAGTCAGCTTTACGATTACCCCGTGTTGAAAGGAACACATTACAGGAAGTACCACAGAAGCTGTTCAGTATGGCTTAGAAAGCGAGGCAAAGGCTGCCGCCTTCTAGGTAGAGGATATTTGTTATTGCTGCTGTTGTTGATATGGTACTTGTTGTTGTACCATATTCTTCAGTTAAAGTTGTTCCCACTTTGTTCACCAAGATGTCTTTTAGTTTGCCATTTGTACATTTTATCTTATGAGAAAGTATACAATAGAGCCTGTAGAACCACTTGATTATAACCCTTGTTTCTATCAACCCATGAGGAAAACTGTAACTAACAGATGTCATAATATTTTCATACCCATCTGGCCCAGGACAACTTATGCTCGTGATACATTGAAAACCATTTCAGTTCATGACTCATGGTGATTTATTAGGTGGCAAGACACCATTGAAAGAATCAGACCAAAATATTAGACAATTTAAAAACTCATAGAAGTGACTGATTCATGTAACTTCTCCAAACACTATCCAGCAAACAGATAATGTTAATACTGAAACTTATCAGGCAAAAGTTATCTTGATCTTACATCAAATTCTCATAACTTATTTACAAGTAAATGTGTAGCAACTAGAAGGGAGAATTGACAATCAGATCTTGGGTATTTAAGGGTTAAAGGAAAAGAACAGAAATGCTTCCTCTCAGCTACTGATCTCAACAATGCTAGACCTTTACACACATTTAACTTTCTGTCAGTGATAAACATTCAGTGAATTGATATTCCCACTCATAGCACTCAGAGGCCTTCTGACACAAAGGTTTGCTATACTGGTTCTTGCTGCATTGTGTTAACTAATGTTATGATATAATTTTGAGATGTAAAGAAGATACTTAAAAGATTGAGAAATATATCTAAATCAAGATATTTATTTTATCCTGTTATAGTTACCATAAGATTTGTTCCAAAGAGAATCAAAAAATCACAATTTCCTAGCCGTTCCACGCAGTTTTTACTTTGAACTCAACACAACATTCACATGTTATGCCGAAGTGAGGACGTTGTACCGTCAGAAACGGTTAACGCATCGAGCTATCAGCGAAAATCTCATAAGAATATAAATTACGTTTTTTCGGCAACGTTTTATCACATATCGCCGTAGTGACATCTTAACTCCTTAACAAATGCAATAACAACCTCGAGAAACTTCACCCCGGCATCCTGGGGTAGTAAGATTGAAGGTAAACGCGGGCTCTTTTTTGACCACGGCTAGGTGGGTTACCTCACCTACCTGGGGTCCCCCGCTTCCGTGTAAACGGGCTCTTAGTGTATTTCACCAATGATATCTGTTTAACGGGTCCAGTGCTTTTTGATTGTCCTATCCGAAACTATAGTTTTTGTTTTAACCTTTTCCTTATCACGGTATAAACTATTCGTATTAGCCAATTTCACGTGAGTTGTCAAACACCCACGAGAGTCATTCATACGCGATTTCCATTGATTAGCATAATATGTGATCTTCCCCTCTATGACTTGAACGGGTTAATAACTAAATCCTTTCCACTCAATTTGCCGTTATCATTTATTGACGAGCAGGTGGTTTTTATGATGACTAAGCTTTTCCTGAAGATGACGTTTCTTTGGTATGTTAATTATCGATTATACAACTTTATAAATGTGAAGCATTTATATAATTTTCTTTTTTTTGTACTTTAATTTTGTTTATGGTATCATTTTTCCTCTTTTATTGGAAACTCGTTCCTGACAGCTTAATCTTCATTTTTTTATGGTCTTACTATAAGGTGGAAGTGCATATGGGCAGAGTAAGAGCTTTTGCTTTGCTTTTTACCTGCACTTGGTCATCAACATTCGTCTATTTTCCGCCAAACAACAGTTGTCTTCAATAGCATGTTTTTTTACGGCGACATCAACAGCTGCCGGCGCTTTTCATAAATTTCTCATATTACAACAAAAATGGCATTTGTTGAAACTTAAAGAAGAGTGTTACGGTTATTTGACTCGGAAACCGGGCAGCAATTGATTACTTTCAGACCTTTTGGATGAAAGTGAACGAGAGACCATGAAGTTGAGTCACATAAAAATGTTGAAAGGCTGTTGACGGCTGAATAAGCTTACAAGCTAATTATGGTGACCGACGAATGAACACCTGCATCAAAAGAGATTGCAACAGGAGTAAGATACAATTACAGCGAAAAGTTCTGAAATTTTCTTATTTGGATTTGTTTTGTTTCTTTTAAATTTTTTTTCAGTGGCCGTTGGTCCAATGTGTTCTGCACCATCTGTTTGGTTGGTTGGAGACATATGCCTGAGTATAGAAAAGTGTTCTTGAAAATATCACTTAGAAAAGAGACCTGTATTTTGTCAAAATGGAACTCATCAGCTCCCAGCTTGACGATGTCGTTTTTTTAACAGCTAAAATTTGCCTCTTAGTTTTCCACTTAGATGCATTTTAGTTTATGCCGCTTTCAGATTTAGAGGGACTGTTTACAATGTGGAAAATGAACTAAAGGTTCTAAGCCGTGAACCCCCCAAGCCACTTCGACCGGTAGAACTAAGATAACAGTCAACATGGTGTCATCAGCTCAGTAAAATCACCTGCTCAGAACCTTCTGTCTTTATTATACGTCACTCAGGCTAGACTGAATTCGAGGGGGCCAAATTACCTTTCACTTAAAATAGATGTAATTAATTGAGTTTGAATACATTGCACTTTAAGCTGAATCGCAAAATATTACCCGTGGTCCAGGTTTTTATCAGCTCTACATACTGGATGTTACCCTAAAAGGGTGCAGATAAATGTTAACAGGGATGGAATGCCAAAAACATTACTTGGAGACCAATGCCCTGCTGTTTGGAACACAAGAATAAGCTATCAACTGACGTGGCTCTCAGGACTAAACATTTTCTTATCCATAAATGCAGTCCTGGGAAATGCTCTGATCTTGGTCGCACCGTCCAAAATGCTGTTACGCTGCCTATCGACAACTGATCTTTTGGTCGGGCTCTTGTCGCAGCCCATGTATGCTGCTTACGAAATGAGTTTGTTAAATGGAAGTTTGGGAAGGTGTCGTCTTACTTTTTTTATCAGTTTTATAGCAGGTTATATCTGAAGTGGAGTATCCTTGTTTACATCGACAGCGATAAGCTTGTCGGCTTTGCTGCGTCACAGTGAAGAATCTGCTGCTGCCTCTTTCAAAAGACATTATACAGTAACTCTTGTTTTCACAAATTCGACTCTCACACCCGTTTATCCATTTCTTGACGATCAGGGAAGTTCGAAAAGCTGTCAGAGAAACAATCAGAAATCTTCTGAATATTCAGTGAAAACTCAGAGATGCACAATCCATAAGCAAAAGGCCCGTAGGGAGGAGGGGTGCTACGGAAACGTATGCACCCTCCCACGGGCTGCGAAAGTCTGTTTATTAGCTACCAGCGTTCAAAAGAAGTAAGATATTACATGAAAGTTAAAAGCAAAGTAGTTTGTAGTGTGAAATGGAACCTAATTGAATGAACCTTTTTCATTTTAATTCGTACGGAATGCAGTCTCGTACGACACCATTTTTAAAAATTTTTCCGGAGGGGATACTGCTAGACGTCTCTTGAATCCCCCACCTCCTATACTCGTCAATAGGCTCCTTCGGCCCTCAAAAACACCCCCGCAAAATACGTGTAAAAACCTTTCTAAGAATCTGAGCAAGAATGCAAGAATTACGCAAAGCTAGTAAATCTTTACACTCATAATACTGTTCCATCAAAGCACATCAGTGATGTCAGCTGTCACCTCTTCACTCTCCACCTCCCTTAGTAAAACTTCGCCTTTCACTTTCCCAGGATAAAGTCCATTTCGAAAGTGGTGCAAAGAAGAATAGCCAAGTTATGAAAGAAAGGGAAAATTTGCATTAAAAGACTTGACAAAGGAGGCGTAAATTGTTTAATGTCGCTCTTAAATTGACTACAATCAAAATGAATGTGATTGGTTGATTTAAACTACACTTCTCAATGTGATTGGCTCCGATAATAAACTGTGCGATAACAACTTGGCAAATAAATCAGTGAAAAATAGGTTTTTAAAGCAATCATAATCAAGGAAATGGTAATTTTTATGATTAAGAAAGTTATAAAACATAAGCCATCGTTATATTAGGAACGTCCAAACTTTACTTTGGTCTTCCCCTTACCAGTAATGATGACCTCCGTTGATTCTGGAGATTTCAATCAACGACAACGTTGAGTTAGCTCAGGTTTTCTGCGTCATGGACGATCAGAATTCACGAACAAGTATTTCTTCGATTTACACGCCAAAAACCGATAGTAATATTGAATAAAGATGTATTCCTAAAACTAGAGGGGCTGGCTAGAAAAACATGAAAAAAAAAATCGGTTAGACATTGCCGATATAAAGATTGGCACGCGTTTGGGAATAAAATAGATAAGAAATGTTTGTCTCCAGGGGGTTCCGCGATTACCCGATTCTATCCCAAAATACGAATCGAATAGCATAGGATGTTTGCTTTGGTTTCCACCGCCATGAAAGCTAATACTGTCTGCATTCGTGTTAATTAAATAATATCAGGAATTCAAAGAAATGTTTTAAGACGCTAAAATTACGCCTAATTAAGACGAATAAGCTACTATTTGATCAATACAAATGAAGCCCCTGATTTGTGCTGTTTACTGAAATATTCAACGGTGGTTCTGAGGGGTATAATTTAAATTTGTTTTTAAAAGAGAGTGTAACCAAATTTAATAGTGTAATTAAATTTAATTAAAACTCCATTAAGAGCAGAGCTTCTCAAATTCACCTGCTCTTAGACAAACAATCTGATAATGGCATGTTTGAGCTTAAAAATTGCGCGGAGACCATTAAGCAGATAGCACACAGTGATCGTGATGTATAACTCCAAATTGAGTATACAAAAACTCATCAAGTCATTTCTGTTGCTCGAATCATGAAGATTTACCGAAACATGTCTGAAGATGGCAAGGAGGAAACTTACGAGCGGTTGTTTTGCTCTCAGGAATTAACTACAGGAATACACGGCTATTTGATATTTCTTTTGGTGTTCAATTTCTTGCTGGCCATTTGTTCATCTCTGGGGAATATTCTGATCTTGATTGCCCTTCATAAAGAGACATGTCTTCACGCGCCATCAAAGCTGTTTCTCCGATCCCTGGCTACAACTGATCTCCTCGTTGGTGTCATTTCTGAGCCTCTAACCATCACCTACTGGATTTCAGCGGTGAGAAAACGATGGGATGAATGTTATATCACATTTTTCACCAGTATCATTGTGGGATATCTCCTCTGTGGCATTTCTTTGTTAACACTGACTGCAATAAGCGTGGACAGACTTCTTGCTCTGTCATTGAAGCTGAGATATAAACAAATTGTGACGCTGAACAGGGCACGAGCAATCGTTCTTGTATTCTGGATATTTTGCATTGTGTGCTCCGTAATGCATGCGCATAATTCTCGTATAACAACATGGTACACCCACATAACAATACTTGTTTGTTTCCTAACCTCAGTTTCGTCTTACACGACGATTTTTTGGAAACTCCACCGCCATGAAACTCAGGTACGTGGCAACATTATCCAACCTGAGCAATCAAACATCTCAAGTTCAGGGCCACTGAAAATTTCTCAATATAGGAAGGGAGTGTTCAGTGTAATGTGCCTGCAGTTAGCAGTTGCTGTTTGTTATCTTCCACATGGTATAACTACAGCTTTGTGGACCTATAGTGGACAGTCGTCGGCTATTATTGTACTCAGACAATTTACAGTAACTCTAGTTTACGTAAATTCAACACTAAACCCGTTGCTTTACTGCTGGAAGATCAGAGAAGTGAGGCAATCGGTTAAAGAAATAATCAGAGAAACACTTTGCTGCCCATAAGTTACAAGGCTGGGGCCTTGAAGAGCTTATAGTTAGCTTATAAAATTGATGAAGGCTTAAGATTTTCTTAGATATCGGCACACTTTTGGTAAAAGAGATTCTTCCTCCTGTAACATTTCCAGTTCTTTCGATGCCTTCTTAGTACGATTGAAACAGCCTTCATTCGGAGATAACAGTCTAAAACAAGATGAATTTCCGGCATTAATTTGACTTATTTTGCGCAAGCAGTGACTGTCAAAAAGAACAGGTGCCGTATGAATAAATAGACAATTATTATTTCGATATAATAATATAGTATAATAAAGGCTAATAGTTCCGTTTTTTTAATTGTGGTCTCTGCCAACCACAATTCCTTTTTTTTTTTGATAATTTTGGTGGATAGACTGAGTTTGTCTCGACAAAACTTGAATTGTAAAACCCACACCTCTTGCAAAAAGTGCGGTGAACATATCTCCCAGTATTGCTGTCTACTTATAATTTCTGACCAAGATTTTAATCTATAGGGCAAAAACCCTTGGGTCTTCTTACGACCATTTCCCTAAATTGCTCTTAAAAACGTGAGGCAGCTACTTCGAAATTTAGCGCTCCTGCTATAATCACCTTGCGCGAGGTGATTATAGCAAGGTACGATGCAACCCTCGACCAATCTGAGTGTCAGAATTTCCACCAAACCGTGGAAATTCTTTTTAAAACCAGAGAACATTGCTTTAAAGAAAGTCAAGAAAAGCAATTCCCCTTGCCCCATAATGTATTCGAGGTAGAAAAGCTTTTCATACAAATTAGTGAAAAACATTTTGATGTTAGACGAGGCCACAGTTGAGCAAAACGCGAATACTAGCGCAATCTATCATACAGGGATTGATGAAATAACAGTATTTGTCCTGCTTCGAAAACATGACAACTTCACCTGGTGCAGTTGGCGTATCGTTATCCTGAGAAGATATCAGTGTTATTATGGTGACTATGTTTAACAATATTGCGGTGAAATATGGCGGTGAAACTCTCCACGACGGTTTCCTTTTTTAAACTTACCAATGTTACTAAGATTGAATTCAACTCTTTTAATGGAAAGACATCTTTTTTACAAGCAATTGTTTTGTTTTCGTGTCAGAAATTAAAGCAGTTTTCTTGCAGGTAATCTCTTCATTCGGCGTTGTTAAAATGTGTTTTAAAGTGGTCTTTTATCTAAACATAATAGCTATAAAATAAACAGAACTTTACAGGTCTGCACTTGGATAAGAAATTATCTTCCCCCGTGGATGATAGATATGATTAGTTCTCTTCACTCACTCTGAGAGATATTATTAACATTTGTGGTTAATTATTTATGGAATATTTAATTGTGACGTCTATCTTGAGGAAGGAGCGAACCATCAACTGTAAACATATCGGAAGTCGTTTTTGTATTGATCAACCACCAGCTTATTTATCGTAATTAGGCGTAATTTCAGCGTCGTAGGACATTTAACTAAATTCATAATATTATCAAACTGACAGAAGCACAAACACTATTAGCCTCCCTAGTAGTGGAAACCGAAACAATATCTATGCCATTGATTCAGTATCTTTCGATCCATCTTTTTGATATCTTTCAGTATCTTTCGATCAATCTTTTGATATCTTTCAGTATCTTTCGATCCATCTTCGGATATCTCTCAGTATCTTTTGATCTATTTTACAGAATCACGGGTCTTTCTATAATTTACTCGCCTATTTATTACTAGATACTACAGCTTGTCTTAGGACAAAGCTTTGCCCTTTTCCTTTCATTTATTTTTTGCACCAGTTCTTTTAGTTTCAAGTCTATATTTCTTTTCGATTTGTTTTGTTTTGTTTTCTTTTTTTATTTCATCGTGTTTTCAGTCCTGAGCAGCTGTTATAAACTCAGTGACGCTCGCCAACTGAGGTATGTGTTGAGGCCGAGGATTAAAATTCCTCCCAGTTTGCCAAGTTTGTGGCGGTCCTACCTTTCAAAATTGCAATTATTTTGCATAGTATCTACCTTAACAAATCAGAAAACATTCTCCGTGCATGACACTGGAAAGGCAAAAAAATGAGGAAAGAGAAAAATGCTTTAAAGATTATGAATTAGCAAGAAAGTTTATTTAATAATATCTTGAAGAAACATCTGGAAATTAAGAATCTATGGTATCTACTTTAATACCATACGTTTGTAAAATATTTGAAATTCTACGAGCCTTATGACAAGCCTGTTAACTTCTATTGAATTTACAAACAGACGGTAGACCAAGGAGTAGTTGCTGTGATTGGTCGACGAAATCTCTTTTGAACAGTGGGCGAACATCTCAAGGTGGTAGACAGAGACTGTTCTGACTTTTCTTGTTCTTTCACATTGGAAGCAAAGAAACAGTAGCCACATTACTGATATCGTCATCTGTAACACTTAAGAACGTTATCAAACGTGGTGAAGCAGCCTCTACCAGGTGCACTGAAGGTTAATACAACAAACAAAAATATACTTTGTCATTTTAATGACACCAACCGAAAATAGATGCGCATGAGTAAATGGAGACGTTACAGAATTAATTCCGTTCTTATCAATATGTCATACGCCATCGATGTCAAGTGACGTGTACATCGAAGAAGAATTTCTGGGTTACAAAAATTATCTTAAGCGGGAGACATAACATTACCCACCACCTAAAGTATCTTTTTCCCTCATACGTTCCGTTGCACCCACGGTAACCTAACCAAACCGGTTCTTCTGAATAAAGAAAAATTTTTCAGTTATCTAAAGTAAGAGAAAATCAATATAAAAGGCGAGCCTCAAACTCGCCAACAAGTTGTTTTAATCTAAATGCAGGTTTAGTTTTATTATGAATGAGGGGAGAACATTTTCCCACAAAACCTCATCATGAAAGGACAATGTTTCGATCTGGGGGGGATTATCTCGACTCTAAACTTCAATGAGTATCCTCGTTTTATTACCTTCAGAACACATTTTCATGATGCCTATCAATGTTACTGCTTCAGGACAGCTCCCTAGACAGTGCGCATAAAATAGCTCTTCTGAACAAAATATAGTTGATACTTACAGCAGTCGATGTACCGTCTTTTTAAAAGTTTCAAGTTCACAAACTTTTCCACTTTTATCATGAGCAATAACCCTCACGTATTTTCATTAGAACATTTTAATCATCATATTACCTTCACCTGGATCTAACACTATGCCGACGACCAAACCTAGTCCACATACAGGTCCAATGTACTTGACTGTTCCTCGAAGTTTCCCAAGCGAACTAAACAATACCTTCATACCAACTTTAATATCATTGATTGATTTAGGCTTGAAGCCCTGTTTCATAGTATTACCTGAAACAAATAACAAAAACAACATATAAGTAAAACGACCATCATATAATTTACATCACGATCATCAATTAGACTTCATTGATGTTTTAGGTCATCAAAGGCCCACATAACCCAGTAGTTTTACTTGGACTGGAGTTCAAATGACTCTAGCTCTGCGTAACATTAGTTATCAGCAAATCTACACACCAGTGCACCCCCCCCCCACCCAACCCCCCCCCCCCCGAAAAAAGTCAATATCAAATACTAGCTTGCTGGTAATAATGTATCGGGTACGAGTAAGAATGTGATTATCGTTGAGACTTCTATTTTTCTGCCTATAAAACACACGCAACCCAAAATTTCATCATTCGCTCTAACGAAGGGCTGCCGGTCAAAACGTCAGCTTTAGAAATTCTTTACGGTGATCAATTTACATCACCAACTCAGTTGATAAAACCAAGTTATCTTATTATACCCCCCATCGATGTAGCGCCACAGTATCTTCAGAAACTTACCCTCTTCACTCTTGTCATTAGTTGCCCCTATCTTGTTTGTCTCGTCATTGGTTTGGTTGGTTGTTTTGTCCACCAGCACAGCTTGGCCTGTCAGGCTTTCTACCTGCTGCACCAGACCCTGCATAGTGGACGTTAAACTGTCTATCTGCTGTGACTGATCATTCAACTGCTGTGACTTATCATTGAATATAGATGTCAATCGCTCAATCTGCTTTGACTGATCTTTAACCTGATTCTGAGTGGTCTCAAGGCTGCATACAGCTGTGTTCAAGTGGCTTTCCATGTGTGATTCTAAGAGAGATTTGGTCCTTGTTCTTTGAAACTAAAAAAAGACGATGAGGTTATTGAACTCTTTTATTCAACTGCCACACTGGTCGGTAGGAATTTTTTAAACCCTACAGAATGAGAAAATGTATATTCATTTGACAATTCGCTGTAATTCGTTTTATGATATGGTTATACAATACAAACGCACGACCTCTCCGCCAAACCTGCAATTGGATATCAACTGAAAGCTGTTTCATACCGCAATTTGGCATCCTAAGTTCTAAACAAAATGATGAAAAAGACTTAGTCTTGAATGAGCAGCCAGAGAAATCCTCCCTCGTGCGTAGCGAAAACAAATCATTCGGGGTCTCAAAATTACTCCTAAGATTTCGTAATTTATGAATCAGGAAATTGAAATTTAAAATATTCCTTATAAGTCTTTCGCATTTTCCCTGCGAAGTTTTAACGTTTCCCTATCGTGGAGCTACCTAGATTAAATTCTGGCAGGCTCACTCATAGCAGAAAATAACGACCTTTATATCCTCTGACTGAAGCCAGAAAAACATTCACAACAGTATTACATGTTCTCTAAACACTAGAGCACGGAACTCCTCCAATTGCTCACATAAAACAGGACTAAGCATGCGTTCTTTCATATAAAGTAGCACTATGTCCCATGCGGGCTGTGTGCATGAACTTTCAATTAAACTCTCGTTAGAATTACTGAGAATCAGTGAGAATATTACATCTTACCTTTTCTCGTGGAATATTTCTCAGACCACAATTGTTGGGACATTGAACCGGAAACTTTTGACAGACGTTAGGATGTTGTTGAAGAAAATCGAAAAGAAGTTTTTTTAAAATTTCAAAATTCTCTCCGTCTCATGAAAACTATGACCAATAAAGACAGGCTGTTGTACTAACGAAATTTATAGAGTAAAATACCCACTTTCTTATCAGTAAAGGACAAAAGTTCTCGAACCCAACATTAAAGCCCAACTTCACTAAGATGTTTCTGTGTAACAATTTTATATCGAATAAGAGAAGATACCGAGAGCTCAACAAAATCTTGACTTAATAAAGATTGATAGTCGTCACCACTTTTCCACTTTGGATAAAAAGCAAAAGTTTGAGATACTGCCTTTGTAGAAGCCATATAAAGAATATGTTTTTGTTAACAAACCTGCTTGTTTTTCACGATAAATGATCCTCGACAATATTCACAACTAACTTCCCTCCGGACACATTCCGTTATCATGTGATTGTTCATATCTCGCCTGGTGAGCTTCTTTTTACATCCTTCATTTGGACACTCCACCACTTTGAACAGGCATTCTGACTGATGTTTCTTAAGTCATAATTTATCGATAATAAACTGCACTGTAATCATGATCCAATTTGCTAAGACATACAACAGGCTAAAGAAAAGAGAGACTTGACTCACAACAAAACAAGCGGTTAACTGACGCTTTAGGATCTTAGAAAAGAAATGTGAAATTTACGTGTGACTTGTTGATAATAATGCTATCCCTAAGACTAGTGATAAATATTAAATAAACGTTTAGTAAAATAGGCACCTTTCAAAGCTTATCAGACAGGAAGAAAATCTGTCATGTTGCACGCAAACTGCCGACCATGATACCTCAGATTGCAAATACCAGAACAACACCGCTGTTCAGTCCAGATAGTTACTACTGTGCAAGAAACTGTTGAGTTGAGCTCCACAAGTTACCCTTATATGCTTCGTATAACATCACGTCTTGCTGCCTCGATGGTTAAGAGTAGCAGGAATAAGTGCAATGCTTGCTTATTATGAAGGAGACAAATTAAAATGTTTTAGATTTTTAATTTTTGGGATCAACTGCGAATGAAGTGATAGAGAACGCCCTTACGGTGAATATGACGTAGAT